ATATATACTGGTGGTTGGTTGAATGGTATGAAATCGGGTTCGGGTACGATGAGTTGGCCTAAAGGCGAAAAATGTGATGCTGATTGGATTGATGATAAAGCAGTTTGTGATGGTACGTTGTGTTTTGTGAACAGTAGTATATTCTGATGCCTGTAGTATGTATCATAAAGATGTGGGTTATTAGTAGAAACATTGTAATACTTTGAGTGTGATGATGTGGAAGAATGTGTAGATCTAGGAGATGCACAAACAGTTATCCAACACTGAGGGAATCAATTTAGATAAAGAATGAACACAAGGAGCTTTTGTTTGTATTTCTGTAGTAGAGATTTCAAGAGCTACTTACTCACCTGCATTCATCATACTTTAACCTTTTTACTTTAGCAATGAGATCCTTAATTCGACAGCAATACACCCAATACTTTTGAGTAACAGTACACATACCTCTATTATTAGATAGATTGCAAATAAATAGGTGGATCCCGTTCTTTGCGCCTGTTTCATTCTCACTCTGAATCGAAAACTCTTACCACTATCCAGATCTCCCCTTTCATTTTCTCCGCTATCTTTAATCTTGCCGTATTTTAATTTGTAGTATTTATCTATCGTCCCTGGTTGACCCACACTTCATTTCGATGCTGCTCAAATAAATTTTAAATCTCATCGAATTTTATTTTTGAGCACAATATATGGAAACACTTAAGTGAGTTGGCGCTCATTTTTAGAGAGGTTCTTTAATAACTGAAGTTATGGTATCTTTCCTCCGCTATAAAAATAATGAATATAAAACAAGGACTTCCTGGTGTTCTCTATCCTGACACACTTTTTTGAGCAAAAAACTAAATATATTGAATGAGATTGAAAAACGAAAAATATACTGCCTATTGATTTATATTCGATACTTGTTTGGTGCACAACTCTGTTAAATGTTATGATAAAGAGTGGAAAACCTAGCATACCCTCTCCACTACAGCGCAAGTATATACTCCATAGTTCATCCAATCAGACTGTACCTCGCAAGAAAACGCTTTTCGAGAGTGAACAACGCTTTAAGACAGCTAATTTTTCTACTTCTTTCACTTCTTCTTATCTTTATACAAAACTCTTTTGACACACATATATACAGATTCACTCTTATTCGATTAGTCTATTCTCAGCTTCATTCCCTTTGGAACTACTCATACCGACATCGATCTCATTTCCATTTTACGATTAAAAGAAATGATCATGGTTTGGTTTCTATTTCATCATTTAGCCATTTGTTTTCCACAATGTTCGAATGGTGGAAAATGCACTGGACCAAACTTTTGTACCGTAAGTCGGAAATTCACCTATATTTCATAAGGAACTCATTCATTCCCTGTTTGTTTAGTGTACATCATTATGGACTGGATCTCGATGTGAAACACGTATGTATTCATTCTTTGTTCACTTGACTGTAAACGAGTGTCAGTATGAACTGAGAGTATAGATAATCACACCCACATCCTTAATTTAAATCACTTCTTCTATTGGCAAATATTCTAAAATATTTCTTTTTTTCAAATTTTTATTTAACAAAAAACAAATAATAAAGTCTTTTTATCAGTTTTGTTTTTCTCCTTTTCTTTTCAAATTAGATATTGTCAATTTGTTTAAAAAATTGATTATCTTTCGATAAAAACACATTTTCTTCAAAGTTTTCGTTCTAAAAAATACAACCTCCATATACTTTTTTCTTCTGAAAACAAAATCTATCTTCGTTTCATTTTAATAAATTCTGTTCTAAAAAACAACAAACGATTTTTTTGTTAAAATTCTTTTGAAAAATGAGCAAAAAAATTAAATCAAATTTGATTTTTCATTAAACATGTTTATGAAGATTGCATTCAAAATCCATCTTTTCGTTTTCTTCGGTTAAAAACAAATTCTCTCCTTCTTCTTTTCATGAAAATTATTTGTTTTCCTCATCTTCTAGCATCAAACTGGGACAAATGGAAACAAAACGCCACCACTGTGGCTGGTGGAAATGGAAAAGGAAAAGAATTAAATCAACTCAGTGGTCCTCTTGGAATCTTTATTGATAAAAAGAAAAATATTTTCATAGCTGATTATGTAAATCATCGTATTGTTGAATGGAAATATAATGCAAAAGAAGGACAAATCATTGCAGGTGGAAATGGCAGAGGAAATCGAACGGATCAATTGAATACTCCAACAGATGTGATTGTTGATCAGCAAAATCATTCGATCATCATTGCTGATTTTGGGAACAAACGAGTAATTCAATGGTTAAATCAAAACCAACAAATTCTCATTGATAATATTCGCTGTTGGGGCTTAGCAATGGATAAACATGGATTTCTTTATGTTTCTGATTTTCAGAAGAATGCAGTAATACGATGGAAAATGGGAGAATACAACAATGAAGGAATTGTAGTGGCAGGTGGAAATGGACACGGAAATCAACTGAATCAATTCTATGCTCCTACTTTTATGTTTGTTGATAAAGATCAATCTGTTTATGTATCAGATGCGAACCATCATCGTGTGATGAAATGGAAAAAAGATGCAAAAGAAGGAAAAATTGTGGCTGGAGGAAATGGTAAAGGAGAAAATCTCAATCAATTGTCTGGATCTCATGGAGTAATTGTTGGCCATTTTGGTCATATCTATGTGGTAGATACGTGGAATTATCGAGTAATGCGTTGGTCTGAAGGAAAAGAAGAAGGTGAAGTTGTTGTTGGTGGAAATAGAAAAGGAAATCAATCAAATCAATTGAATAATCCCATGGGTTTATCTTCTGATGATGAAGGAAATCTGTATGTTGTCGATTCCGAAAATCATCGAATTCAGAAATTTGAAATAATTTTGTGAATGAAATTTTGATTGTGAAAAAGAAAAAAGTTTCTTATTGAATAAAAAAACGAAGAAAAGTCTTCTGGGACTTTTTTCTTAAAAATCGAATTTAATTTGATGATTTTAATCGAAAGATTCCAACAAACAAACATTAAATTGTCTTCATCTTCTGTTGAATTTTATGAAAGAGAAGAAAAGAAAATATTTTGTGTTTGATGAAATTCTATTTGAATATTTTTATTTGATGAGAATAATCAAATGTTCTTAGCTTTTTACTTGATGCAATTTAAAATGTTCGAGCATGAAAAGAAAAGAAATCTTGTATCAGAACTTAAAAATAAAAACCGAATTTAAAATAAAATTTGTTGAACAAAAGAAATATTAAGAAGATTTTCGTTTAGATGAAAACAAAAACAAAGTTTGAAGGAAAAGTAAATCGAGAAATATAAATAAAATAAAACTTTGAAAAAGATTTGTTAAATTTTTGATAGAAAATGAAATAAATATTTAATAATTGTTTTATCATATTTGATTCAATTTCTTCAAATCAAAAAATGCAACATTTTCTTTGTTTTGATCTGTGAATAAGAAGCTTTCTCCTCATTGAACTTTCTTCTTTTCATTGAAATTTGACGAAAATATAAAACATTTAAAGTTGTTTTTATTACTTCTTAATCCATATTGATAATTCAAAGTAGAATTTCGTAAAAAAACATCTCATTAGAATAAATAATTTGAAATGTTTTTATGAATAATAAAAAAATATTTCTTATGAGATTAAAATTAGTTGAACTTGATAAAGATTGATTAAAGATGATTAAGCTCCATAATGAAATCAGGATGAGGGTGCGGGTGTGGGTATGAATTTGAGTGTTGTGAATGAAGAGATCTACAACCACAATCCATTTTTATCTTGAAAATTAAATCTTTTTTCAATACGATTGAACATTAATTGTATACCTTATACAAACTTTTCAACGATTTCCTTTCTATACTTTTCTAATTCTGGAGCACCACCCTTTAAATCTCACATGTATCAAATTTTTTTCAATAGTCTCTATTGTACCAGATACATTATCGATACATTTTAAACTAAAATCTATCTTTTAGAAACTCTGTTGTTAGTGAGAAGCATATTACACTTACTCTTCGATTATGTGGCGCATTATATTATTAAATATTCACGAAATACCATAGTTGATTCACTCAGCATTGTTTCAAAGGTAATAATGATCCTGGAAGATATTCAAAACACTTCATGCCTCTCTCTTGATTTATAGCAATGAGTTATTCCTCGGCATCTCTTAGGAATTGTTACATGTAGCCACGAATATTTTGAACAGTGTGCTAATATGTTCCAGCAGTCTTTTTCCACCAAGATCAGAAATACTGCGGCTACCGCCCACATCATTTACTAATCACTTGATATGTTCAAAAGCTTGATATCCATTTTTTTCGAAAAGTTCATTAATTCGTAGATTAATTTCATCAAAATAACTAATTACTCTTACAGTCAATCCATCGTAAATTTCATTTATATAAATCTTTGATTTACTTTTAGAAAAACTCGACCTGTTCGAATTCTCTTCTTTCTTTCTTTGCATGATCTAAATATAACCTGATAGAGAATTTCATTCTGCATCAGATAGATAAAAAAAATCAATTATATAAGTAGCAAAGAAATTGACCTTTTTGAGTATACTGTTATGCTATGCACTTACTCATGAATTCTCAATATTATTGAAAAGATTTTCCCCTTTGACTTTTATTCATCTCTCTTCATCATATACATAGCTTTTTTTATTGAGAAAAAAATTAACAAAATAGAGAATCCAAATATTTAGAAGCACTGGGAGAATGAAAGATGGCACGCACCTTCCGGTAGCAGACTTCAAGACGAGTCACCTCGGAGTTAGAAGCTTCAACACCATGACGCCATGGACTGACACAGGTGATGGAGTTGTCGCTAATAGTGACGACCAAACCAGCGCAGCTTTTTCGACTAATATTCATAGCATGTGATTCACTGACAAGGTGCTCCGGGTGTAAACAACCTTTCACGTCACAGAGATGACTTCCTGAAAAGAAATGATACATCACATGCAATGAAAGAAAACTCGAAAAACTTACCGATCATTTCTTCTTCATCGCTTGTTGTTTCTCATCGTCAAATTTTGCGTATTCAATATTTCTTATTGTGCTGGTCTTAGAAAGTGGGTTAGTGATGTGACTAGGATGCAGTCTACAAGACAACCGGTTGAAAATATCAGTGCCTATAACAAAGAAAAATGATTTTAATTCTCAGTTTAATAAGCACATACCATCGATTTCATTCACACTTTTGAGTGTTTTGAGACAGTCAGTGGTAATATTCGCTAAATTCGTAACACTGATGTATGGTGCCAAATTATTGAATATGGATCTGTTGTTAAGAGTTTCAATGAATATATCACTGTCGTGATTGAGGAACATATGCGGTTGTGTTTCTCAAGAATTTCGCGGAATTTGGCATTTGCTGCTTTGGAGAACGGTCTGGTAGTAGGATCGTAGAACAGAACTTGCCATTGTGTGTTTGACATAATGCAGATTGAATGAATACTTTGAAAATAATTTTGTAAGTTTTAAGATTGTATGGTTCGATTTTGTATCTTTTATTTAAAATAACTCCAGTATATATACGATCTGAAAACAACAAAAGAGAATAGAGAGAAAATGGTGGTGATGATATGGCGTCGCGAAATGTGAAGCTCATAAAAAGTTTCGTTCTCTTCTACCGTCGACTTATATAGTGTAAGCGAACATATAAAATATTCGTTCGACATTCCTTCACATATATGTTTATATGGTATTTTTTTCTTTCCTATATATATGAAATAAAACAACGAATATTAGTTAGAAATATATACTGATAACTATTTGAAAAAAAGAAAATGCTTCTTATTTTTTATTCTTTATCGAATGAATATTATATTTCATTAGAATTAAACTTTCTATTAATATGCAAATTGTATATTATAAACAATATTTGGAACTATTATGAGTTTTTATTAATTATACTTTTCTTGAACTACTTAATATACATCGTATATAACGAAATTAATCGAATTTTTTACATATTTATTTTAATTTTGTTATCTTATCAGTGTGTTATATACATTGTCAATAGAAGTGCAATAGGACGTTAATAGATGTCAGAATTTATTTCGTTCTGTCAAATACAACTGAGACAATTTGATATTGACTCATTATTCGTTACGCAATACTATATCAGATAAGCGAAATAATGTGCAAGCTCTGAAAGTTTGATGAAAATCATACATCGAATATGGCCAACAGCAACAAGCAAGAAAATGAAATAACTTCTATAGAAGATTTACCCAATGAATTATTTGGCAAAATATTTTCTTATTTAAATGGAAATGATGCTAGTTTTAGTTTGATATATCTTAACAGACGTTTTCAATGTTTAGTTAAAGAATATTGTCAAAGACTTGATTTTAAATCAATAAATAAGTCTAAATTCGATCTCATCTTTGAAGAATATGATACACAATGGTGTCAATCATTAAGTTTATCAAATGACAATTATACATATGGTCAAATTGAATATTTTCTTCAGTTTTATTCTCTTATTGATCATTTTTCTCAATTAAAATCATTGACTTTATACAATATAAAATCCATCGATACATTTGAGTTGTTATCTCAAATTTTTCTTCTTACAAATTTAGTTTCATTAACATTAAAACCTGTTTGTGGAAAGATAATGTCTGAATTTGATTTTTTCAATCTTAAACGGCTTGCTATCACTTCCTGTAAAAATACAACATGGATTAAAGTAAGACGAACAATACATAATTGATTGCTATTTTATATGATTTTTAGAAATTTTCTCAACTTGACAGTCTTGAGTATACAATGAATAATTGTTGTTTGTCGCAAATAGTTTTCGCATGGCCGTTAAAACTCAAACATTTGAAAATTATTTTCGATAATGATGATGTTGGTGTTTTAGTACCTCAATCACTTACATATTTATCAGAATTAATTGTTTTCGAGATTTATCAAAAAAAATTAGGAAAATCACCTCCTAATGGTCAAGTATGGGAGCAACTAATTCGTTCATCATTTCCAGCATTGAAAAAGTTCAAATTTTATTTTCCATTTGACTATGGCTTTGTTTCTATTAAGAAAGAAAAAAAAGTGTTATCATCATTCTCGACATCTTTCTATCTCGAAGAAAAGAAATGGTTTATTCATTGCGATATATTTACCGTTTCTGGAATAGCAGTTATCTATTCTCTTCCATTTACTTTTGATCAATATACAATTATTAGTAATTCAGCTAGTGGAAGAATTGTTACATTATCAAACAGTAATTTCATTCATTCCGATAAAGATCTATATAAACATATGAAAACAGTGATAATTGAATCAATATCAGAATGGGATCTAGAAAATGATTTCTATACAAAACATAATAAGAATACATATGAACAAATTATGCTTAATTTTATTAGTGGTCCTCATTTTAATTCTATCGAACGACTCTATTTATTACCAAATTATTATCGTTATAGAAATGAACATAATATTAAAATTTTATCGAATAGTTTTTATATTTTATTAAAGAAGATTCCTCATTTATATGTATTAGAAATAGATTTGAGTGATTTACAATTTTTGACAGAGAATTGGACTAATGTGATTCTATGCAGTCATCTATCTGAAAATATTCGTTCTTTGATATTGCATTCAAATAAACATCGACGACAATTCTTAGATGGAAATGAAGTTAATCAAATAACACGTGTTTTTTCTACAAAATGTCAATATTTATCTGTATGTGTTCTGTCACCAATTCACACTATTATTTCATTACTACGAAATATGAAACAATTACATAGTATGCATGTATTTGTTCAAACAAAAGATAATGAAGAAATTACTATGAAGTGGTTAGAGAAACAAAATATTGGATTAAATTATTCCAATTGTTTTATTACTAATGATGAACAAAATTATTATTTTTGGTTAAGATAATATCGAAGATACGTTTGCTATGTCATCGTCTGCGACAAATCAGAATATTGATGTAGAGAGAACAACAGCTTTAGGAACACTCTAACCATCAATGTTTATGTACTTTTCTTTTTTTCATAATGAAATATATGTGCCACTGATATTTAGAAAAGGCTTCATTTCATAAATATTGCCATACTTGAGGGTGGGTGTGGGTGTGGATATCATATTTATATCCCATATAGACCCACACCCTCAAGATGGTTTATAGTCAGCTCATATGAAAACTACAGTAATTGTTATATTTGAATAAATTTAAAAATATCAAAATAAAAAGTAGATGTTAGTGTATAAATGAATAAGCGACATAGCCAGAAAAAGATATCACCAGTCAATAAATTGATATTTTAAGCTCACCCAAGAATTATTCACAGTTACTCTGGCTTTTTTGTTGGCTTGCGCAGCTTTTTTCAGTCTATTTTCATTTTTTTCCGACAGATCACGAAACCATACGAGAAGTACCTTCAATGCTTGAGTATAATTAATCATTATGATGAGAAATTCCACACTTAACTCAGTCATCCATTTATTATAAGATAGATTCAAATATTCAAGAGTATTATTATGATTTTGAAGTGCATTAGCTAGGATTGCTATTCCTTCATCACCGAATTCATTTCCAGCTAAATTCAAATAAATTAATGTTTTGTTCGTCTTCAACAACGCAGCGAGATCTTCGACGCTCTTATCCGTAAGGCCACTATTGTTTATACTCAATACTTTAATAACGTTATTATTGATTGATAATGCCTTAGCAATATATTGAACACCTGAATCACCTATACGAGTGGCACAAAGATTTAATACTTGCAACGTTAAATTATTCTTCAAGCCAGAAGCTAAAACAAAAGCACCTCTTGATGTAATTGAATTGTCACTCAAATTTAGTTTTGTACATTGTTTCTTAATAATGGCTTCTTTAACTACAATTTTCATATCTGGATCAATTACGTTCTCTTCACCAAGATCTATTCGTGAACGACTATATGATTGTTTAATGATTTTTTCAAGTTTTGGATTTCGATAATCAATGAATTCTAAACAAAGATTATATTTCTTTTTATTTCTTGAAAATTCAATCAAACTTACCAGAAACATCAACTATTTTAGTATTCTTTTCAGAATTAAATGATGGATTTTTTTCTCTAATTTCTAGTGCTTTGTTATACCATTGAATACTCGCATCATAATCGCCTTTATGAGATGTTATATCACCAAGATCTTCATATAGTTTTATCAGAATTGGATCATTTGATGGAATTTCATTGATCAATCGAAGATAGTATTTTTCGGCTAAATTGAATTTACCCATTTTCCATACAATTTTTGCTAAAGTAGCAAGATCTGCTTTTCCATTTCCATTTTGATCTTTCATATGTGATAAAACTTGTTTTAAATCATGTTCATCATCACTGTACAATGTCATTGTGATAACCCATAATTGATCATCTTCGTGAATAACATTATTAAGACGAAATATCGATCCTAACATGAAAAGTACTTCCGTTTCGATAGGAAAGTCACTGTGAGAAGTAATATCAGCAAATGGTTTCATCGAAACAACACTAGGATCGGCATTTATTTCAAATAATACTCGTTGTAAATTGTCTTCCGGATTGCCCTCGCCCATGAAAAACAATGCTGTTTCACGTTGAACAGTCGTAGATAAAAATGAATTAACAGAAATATATTGATTTATATTTCTTTTCAGACTATAAATTTCTTCTTTCGCCATTAGTTGACTTCGATAAATACGTATAGGAGTTTTTAATTGATAGTATTGTAATTGATGATATATGTCAGAAATATATGAACGAAATAAGAAAAGTATTTCGATATTTTGTACGCGTAATGCTTTATTCAATATTTTGTAGAAAAACGAATCTCGTGTATACCACCATAAGACTTTATTAGGGAAATAATCATTTTGAAATTCTCCAAGTTGATTTAGGAATCTATTATTCCCTTGGTATTCTCTTTTACAAATTGAAATCAGTTCATTTTTGTCTTGTTCTGTACTTGGGTTCATTCGGAGAAGACAATCAATCAATAGTTGATTATATACAAATTGTCCATTCAGTCCTGTTGTTGATTTACCTGCGTTTTCACTAGTTGAAAATATATTGATTAACAATGGTTGTTCATCTTTCATTCGTTTCTTCTGATCCAATCGAATCTGAGCAATGAGCTCATCAAAGTGAATAGTAACCGCTTTGATCTAGAACAAAATAAAGTACGGTAAACGTTTAGCCACAAGTCGTAGTGCAACTGTGAAAGCTTGTCACAGTAAGTTTACTTTAGTGAATTTAGTAATCCATCTTTCTTTGCCCAAAATATTTTTACAATGAATATAAATTGCATAAACTTGTCGTAACTGATGAATGCGAGGTACCAATGTATGACTAAATGAATCATTTATAATCAGTATTAATCGATCTTCCTCTAGTCGTTTCTCAATATATTGTTGGCATGTTTCTTCATTTTGAAAAGTCATAAGGTGATTGATGATATTACGTAAATCTTTTTCTATATTTTCGTCTTCTTCATTGCTGTTAGTTTTGTCATCAAGCCAGATAAGACTGAATATTTCAAGATTATCACTGATAGTATGCGATTCATTAGTTTGAGGCACAGCTTCGGCCATATGAATTATTAAGATTCGTTTTTTTTCATAAGGCAGTACGATTGTAAACAAAATTTTCTTTTCTTTTGAAATTACATTTACATCTGGCTATACCTCTTAGTTTGAATGCATTAAGGCATTAGCAACGTGTTCTGTTTCGTTTTTCTCGAACAATAAAAATAACATTTCTTTCACATTGCACTAACTGCATGGGTTTTTTTTCATATTAAGATGTGTTTGAGTGAAAATACAGAATAATTTTCAGTGTGACTGGCAGTTTGAAAGTATTACTTTAAATTCAAACTCGGCAATGGACGCCGCATGAAAATTAACAAATGTGAAAAAATTTTTAAAAAAATTTTAGATTAATAATGAATACATTTGATGAATCTTTATCTACGATCGAACTAGATACAGATTTATTAGTTGAGGAACCATCGAGATTTTCTGTTGGATCATATTTAGGAAGATCAACGTCAAAACTAGAGTTGATTGGTTTATGTTGCCCACTTCTCTTAGTTGTTTTGTTGTTCCTTGGAATGATCGTTATTTTTCCAATTTATATGATCGTACTTGGAAGCATAAATATGGCTAATTGTCCAATCGAAACAAAAATTCCAATTTATCTCATTGTAACCGGTGCTATACCAATTGTTTCTATGTTACTTTCTGTTGGATTCTTTGCGATAAAACTGAATAATACTTTAAAGATCTGTGGTGTCTGCTTATTTTACATACAGCTTATACTGCACGTATTTTGGATTACTTGCATCGTTTTCGGAGGAATATGGACGTTCAATATAATGCAATCGGTACAACACACAAACATTTTGTTATCAACATACTGTGATAAAAACACATTCAATATTTCTACAGATTCTCTTTATGTGCAGGGTAGTATCGCTGTGATATCGGTCTGCTGTTCTGGACTTTGTTGTGTTCTTAGTTTTGGATGTATAATCAGGCGTGTGGTCAAATTAATTCAGCCACCTCCAGAAGAACTCTAATCCATGTTTCACATGAACATTTGAACTATGCTAAAAAGCGTGTAGGCAATTTTCTGCTTACACATTAAAAACAAAATTTAAGATTTTATTGAATTAATGATTTTTCATGCGTTTTTTAAGCTTGTTTGTTTAGTTGGTTTAATATCAGAACAATATTTTTATATATCTATAATAATAATAAACATTCCAATAGATTTTTATTCTACCAGTCAATATTTCACGATGATGATCAGAGAAACGATGACCAAAACATTCACATTTCTTTCTTATCGGATGTTTTTACAGCACAAAAAAACAATATACCATTATTTCAACAAGTATCTGATTGACAAAGTCGGGGTAGATGTAAGTCTGCATCTTCACTCAAACCACTCCCACATCCTCTAATTATTTCAAATGCACATTTTTTATTCTATATTTTATTATACTCCATTTTTGTTTTCGAACAATAGTTCAGATTTGTTTCAAGTTCCTTTAGAGTCAAATGGAATCGAATTAATTCGAATCGGTGCGGTCGTTGAACCAGAAGCGCTTCACAGCAAACATAAAACCAACACACATAAGAGAGAAAACAATAATACCAACAACAAGAACACCCATAAAAGTAAAAGAACGAATCAAACCATCGCGAAAACCATAAGTACTATGAAGACTATCACGACCACGGCCAGGAAGTAAAAAAAGAGCGAAAGCAAAAATAAAAAAACCAGCAATAATACAAAAAAAACAGAAAGCATATGTACCAAAAGTAGAACACCTCGTGCTAGCATCTTCCGTTGCATTAGATGGTGAGCCGTTATTTGGTAAAAAATTTTGCGCTGTGCCTAAATGAAAATGTCTAATATAGTTCTCAACAACAAAGATAGGGCTCTCCTAGTCAGTGTACTAGATTTTAGTCGAATTTTGTTCTCATTTGCAGATACTTACCTGCTAATGGTGCAATTTGTTCCTCAAGTAGTTGATCCTTATTTTGAGCCATAGTAGTCCGAGTTTGATGATTAATTTGTTCTCGACGGTGACGATTCTCAGTATTGATTAAAGATCGTAATGACTTAAAAGCAAATGTATTTAGGTGATTTTTTTCTAAAATGTTGTTAGCATAACAAAATGCAATGAAATTCATACAAGAAAGACTCATTTTTATCGATAATAACATAGTCATTGAGCTTAAATCAAATGAATCGAGTGGAAAAAAAATCTATGTCAGAATAAAAATATGATGAGATAACACAAACAAGTATGAGTGTTCGACAGCATGGTGAGGGCTGTCTATTAATGAGATGAGAATGTCTCTAGACACTACTTATAATGTGTATCAAAAGAACTCCTCAAGATGGTCCCTCGTTTTTTCCTAATTATATATATCACTATGATAAAATATAATGGTAAAAGCACGCATCACTAAAAATATTAACGAAACTCACATTTTTTCTTTCTCTTTCTTGCCTGGTCTTCTGACGATATTTTATTCGCGATACACGCTGTGATCAAATATTTTTTGCTCGTTAATATAACTTACAATCAAATAATAATATCGCTCGTCTTTCTTTCAACGATCAAAATTTTTGTTGCATGCTTCGCACTACACATGTGCGCAAACAACCGTATACCCACATATTTAGACTATTTTTTTCGTTTTGTTTTTGTGCTTATTTTGACAGCAACATGTAGAGTAAAGAAAGAAAAAACTTTTTTCGTACTCTCTTTTTTGTCAATTCCCTCGTTGCCCATCACATGTGTAAGTAACAACATTATTCATCGATCGAATTTCTTCTTTTCACAGTACGAATGGCTCTTTGCAGATGCACGTATATTGATACAATCGAGTATACATGACATATGTATCATTCTAAGAATAAAATGACTTCGATAGTTAAGTTTAGAATATGTCAGTATTTCAATTGATTGCAATTTAACTAGGTCAATCTAGAAAGAAAACTGTTTTATTTTTCTCGAGGTCATTTCAAATGTCGAAGGATTCCTATCTTACACTTTACCATTTCTTTTATTCAATCAAATTGATATTTACTATGAAGCCTCTGTGTACTCTCTCCTCGTACTGTATATTCCGTAAGTTATAAAACAAGATTTCTAACGCTTCTTATCTTCGAATAATATAGCCTATTTAAAGCGAGTAATATAAAAGTTCTTGTATGAATGTCATTGGGATTTTCTTATGCTAACAATATTTTAGAAAAAAAACACCTGAATACATTTACTTCGAAGTCATTACGGCCCTTATTCAATACTGAGAATCGTCAACGTCGAGAACAAATGAATCATCAAACTCGAATTACTATGATTCAAAATGAGGATCAAATACTTGAAGAACAAATTACACCATTAGCAGGTAAGTATCTGCAAAGGAGAATAAAACTCGACCAGAATTCAATACTCTTGGCTAGTACAGTCTGAAATCGGCATTTTTTGTTTTGGAGTTGAATAAGTATTCAATGAAATACGGTACAAATTAATGATGTATGAACATTTTCATTTAGATACAACGGAAACAGTGTTATCCAATAATGCGTCAACGTCTTCTACTAGGAAAGGATCTAAAAGACGTCGTGATCACCCGCTTTTTCTTATTGGAGCTGGCGTCCTTTTTCTTCTTGTTCTTTGGGGGATTTTTTGGGGTGGTGTTGCTCTTTTAAATATTATTCCTGATACTAATGGTAATACAGCTATTCGTATGTTTATTGCTTTTTTTTGTGTTATGTTTGCTGGTTGTGCTATCATGTTTTGTATGTTTGGTTGTGGTTATCTTGTTCGAACCATATGGAAAATGATGTAAAACGATTCGAGCTGATTTTCTGAAAATAAAGTGTAACCGAACTGAACCCGAATTAATGTTTAAAAAGAGAAAATGATCGAAAGACAATGTAGAATAAAAGAGGTTGATTGACTTACAATTGATATTGCATGACAATGAATTCAGAAATAAGCGAATAAAGCATTCTTTTACTTATTCATTAAGTATTCTTTATAATTTCTTCTTTTACAAGTTCAATACTCTCCTTCACATCTTTAATATGAGGATGATTTGAAGGTAATGTACGTTGTCTGATGTTCAGAGCATGTTCATAATTTGAAAGTGCTTTCGAATAGTCTTTCATATTTCTGTAAATCCAACCGATGTTGTTGTACGAAGTAGCCAACGAAGGATGATTTGTAGGAAGAGTTTCTTGTTTAATTTCAAGTGCTTTTTCGTGAAATGAAAGTGCTTTCGAATACTCTCCCATGTTGTAATAGACACCGCCGAGGTTGTTGTATGAAGTGGCCAAATCAGGATGATTTCGAGGAAGAGTTTCTTGTCGAATTTCAAGTGCTTTTTGGTAAAATGAAAGTGCTTTCGAGTATGCTTCCATGCTTATATACACATTACCAATGTTGTTATATGAAGTAGCCAAATGAGGATGATTTTTAGGAAGAGTTTTTTGCAGAATTTCAAGTGCTTTTTCATAAAATGAAAGCGCTTGCGAGCACTCTCCTATCTTGTCATACGCACTAGCGATGTTGTTATACGAAGTAGCGAAATCAGCGTGATTTGGAGGAAAAGTTTTCTGTTTAATTCTAAGCCCTTGTTCGCAATACCAAATAGCCTTTTCATAATCACCTTGTTTGCAATGAATATCGCCAAGCTGATTATAATAAAACGCTTTTTCGCTCTCTTCAGGTGTTTGTTCGAGCAATGTGTTGTAAAGTTCTTCAGCTTTATTAAACTGACCAATTTTAAGCAATAGGTTACCTAATCTCTCCCACCCATTATCACCATCAGCTTCTTCTCGTATCCGATCAGTAAGTAATCGTAGTTGTTGGTCATCATCCGATGTTAATTGTAGTTCAACTTGATAAAGTTGATTCTTATTGCCCATCTGTTTAATTGTGCCCACTCGAAAGACGGTGTGCATTGAAAAGAGTATTTCTTCTTCTTCCTTAAAATAACTCACCTCCTTGATGGAGGCAAATGGTGCTAATTTTATAGAAGGATCAATGGACATTATGAAAAGAATGCCCAACTTATCCGGTTCTGTTGAAGCATCTATAGCAAAGCTGAGGGATAATTTTTCATTTTTACTGGTAGACAAGAAATTGTTAAATGATATGAGTCCACCTTTTGTATTCTGAAGTTTTTCAAAGTCTAATTTCATAAAACCTTGTCCTCGATAAACCACCAAAGGTTTCCTATCATAAGTACTGATCTGTTGTTCGAAGAGCTGTTGAATTTGCTGATGTAAATCACGTAGAAAGAAGCCCATGTTAATGATTGTATCAGCGTCCAATGTTCGAAGTGCTCGATTAAGCATTTGATAGGTAAAACATTCACGTGTATACCACCATATTGCTTGTTGTGGGCGATAGTCACGTTCGAATTCATTAATCACTTGTAATTGACCTATATTGCCTAAGTAAAATTTGCGACAGTAAATGGCCAAGTCCTTGATTGCCTTACGATTATATTCGATATCAAGGAGAATTTCCTTAAATATCTGGGTATACATAAATGTTGGCTCTAACTGATTTAAATTATCAGTCGAAGCCATTTCATTTGACGTAACAAAACTTACGGCAATCAAGTCTTGGTTGCATTGCTTAACAGCCCGTTGCAATCCTTGATAGACCTCCTTGATATGTGTATAGACACCTTTGATTTTTGTCCAGTTCTGTGTCCATTCTGCATGTCTTGATTTGTTACCACAAAAGATGTAAATTGCATCCAGCTGTGGTATGTCATGAATCTGTGGGACCAAATGTTGGCCCAAGTAGCCTGATATAATAATAAAGACTCGTTCATTGTCGACCTGATTGAGTAGTTGGATACACTGATCTGGTTGAGTGCATAAGTTGACATCATTAACCACGTTCTTTAGTTGAGTCAATGCGTCTTGGTACTCTTTATTTCCTTCGTCGATGCAGGCATCTACCCAAACGAGAAAGTAATTTTGTGCCATACGTTGTCGTGGTTGACAAATATCGGATGAGGATATTGATTTTGATTCGTTCATTTTGATGTTATCGTAGTATAATGTTGAATGTGAATCTGTTAATAACTATTGTTGTTTGAATGAAAATAAAAGATCATCATCCTTCTTTATATACGCATAGTGATTTGTTTTTTCTCGATTTTTTGACGACTTTGGATGTTTTTGTTATCGCTCAAGGACAAACTCTGAAAGAACGAACAAAAGAGAAATCAACAATCAAAGTTTATTTTATTCTTATTCTTTGCAACTTTTTCTTATTTCTGTCAACGCCATTACTGTCGGTTGCCAATGTATGCACAACACTGTTTTCATCAAATAAATACAGAAAGAGAACTATAATTCTTTCAGCGATTTCTTTTTTCTTTTACATTCTATGTCAGACATCATACGAATGTATGAATTCTGTTATGACAAAACTAATGAAAAAAAGATTTGTGAAATTTGATACATCAAGCATGTTTTAAAGGGATGGGTATGGGTGTGAGTGTGACTGATAGTAGTAAGAGAACACTCTCACCCTCACCCTCGCTCACATTTACATCAACACTTATAAGATTATTAATGGTAGTATTGACTGTAGTATCACTTTTGACTGTGTCGCTGCAAATCGTTAATATTCTATTTATTTCGTCGTCATTTGATTTCGAAGTTAACCTATCCAACATGCCAATCAATTCGCTTGTGACAGCGAGATGTGGTCTACTAATCAGCATCGTTCCTGTATACTGTACATTTTCATTTAAGGCTATATTTTTTAACGATAATAATCCTTCCGCGTAGTCTTGATAACTGACTGAGCTAAAGTAAGAAAAAGTATCGAAAAATTGTTGATTTCGTGGTATTTGTTCATGATAATGATTAACATAATCGGTGTCAGACCATCGTTTTAATAACTCACGCCAGAAACCATTATTCATGCATGTAGCATCAACGGTGATACACAAAGTTTTAGCTTCTATATTTTTGGATTTTGAATGCAGAATTATCTTCACGATAGATGCAATAGTTGTGTTTATTAATCCAATTGAATTAAGTTTTAGCAGAGATCGAGCTTGAATAGTGATGATGTAAATCACCATCTTTAGATATAGCTGTTAAGAACATATTCAGTTCGATGAGCGTACTAGTATCTTGAACCATAAGTTTTCTATAGTATTGAGTTGTTGTATCCGTATTAATTTGGGACTTCAAGGTTGCATTATAGGCAATTCCAATACCAAGAAATATTCCACAAAGTATTTGTAACACCAACCACGTTTTCATTATTCAGATTGGTTATTAAAGGCTTTACAAGTCGATATACGATTGTACATAAAAATACACAGAGAATCGTTTAACGATAAGACAAATGTGAGCTAAAGTAAGATAACTGATATGTTTCTTTCCAACGAATTGCTTCTAAAAATAATTCACGTTTGCACTAGAGATTTATTGTTATTTTATATGTTTCATTTCAAATCATAAATACATCAATATATACAGTATAATGGTGATGACTTATCGGTGCTGATTATAGGTTTCCGTTTCTATAAGTGCGAGAGGATGTGGGTGAATTTTTTATTCAATTCAATACTGAACCATACCCACATACACCCGTAACTGTATTTTCAAGATGTTATCATGCATTGGTTTGAATAGAAAAGAAATCTATGTCAGAATGAAAATACGATTAGATAACAAACAAGTATGAGAGTAACACGAAAATTTATTTTTTTATTGTGAAGACCAGTAAATTATGAAATAATATATGAATGACAACTATTATATCAACGTTTCGACCAACTTCAGTGGTCATTAACAAGATACTCCTTCTCCATCACCACCACCAATACCGATAATCATGATAATTGCGTCTCAATACTCCACGAATTCATTTAATACAATACTTTCTTTACTGTTCTTCACAATAAAAAAATTAAATTTTCGTATTATTATCTTATTTGTCTCATTAGTGATATTGTATTAAGTATGAGAGTGTTCGACAGTATGGTGCGGGTTATCTATTGATGAGATTAGAGTGTCTGTAGGCATTACTTTTAGTGTACATCAAAAGAACTCCTCAAGATCAGTGTTTTTAATAGTGGGTGTCAGGTGGGTTAGCAAAGTACCGGCGGGACTTAAAAATTTGAAAAGGCACTTTATTTGGTACTTTGCCGAAGAAAACGAAGTACCAAGATGGCACTTTGTTGAATGAAAAAGTACTTTGCTTATTGGTAATACTATAGCTGATCCATAAATTACTTTTTTTCTTTTTGTTTTACGTGTACTTGGAGCTAAGATAGTTTATTCTTCTTTGAGATTTATTATCTGCTGCCGATCGTAGAGATTATTGTTTTTTTTTCTCTCGATAATATTGTTTTTTAGTAAACAGGTTATTCAATCCATTTTTCCATTTTTATCTTTACATATTTGTTTCTTACAGTTGTTTGCAAAAAAAACTTGGAAACCTTCTTCTTCAAATATCTTCTCCTATACAAGTGCTTTTCGAATTAGTTTATAATGTCGTAGTTAACCCACAAAGAGCACCAAATAACACTATAATTTCATATTTTTTTGATTGACTTATAAAAAAGATATTATACAAATATCTCATTTCCTTCGCTATATCAGAATTATTTCTTAAAGATATTAAATTTGTTTCTCGCTTTTTTCACCTGCAAAATATTGCAATTTATCAGTCTTTTTTATTTCTCCTGTAAATATTATATTGGAATATTTGTAATAGAACTCGCCCATCTTGCGAGACAATATTTCTTTAAACAAGAGTCTTCTCAAAATTTAGAGTAAAAACTAACAGCCTACAACTAATAATATTGAACACCATAATTTAATAGTTTATTCGTTCGCCTCTTCCATCGATTAGAGACAAACATCGTTTTTTCATCGACATTATACAATTTTCTACAACATTATTATCAATATTCAGGAATTCTTCAGCTAAAAATAGTTCGAGTTCACTAGTATTTGTTGGTTTCTTTATTTCTGCTTTCAATATTATAATGAATATATTGACCTATAGTTTTTTTCTTTTTCAACAAGAACGCGTGGTCGACCATTTTCCCACGGTGTTTAAGTGAATCTTCTCGTTTTAATTGATCAAGATTGTAATAAACAGTGCTCAGTGGTATATACTTGTTTCACGATAAATAGAAGAAGTAGATCGTATGCCCCTGTTTCAGAAAGACAAAATTGAAATATAATGACTTTGCAAATTATCGATCGACGCCATAATTGAATGAATATATACAACATGTAGTATGTCTCTCAAGAATTTATCCCTGGAAAAATCAGTTTTATATTCATTTGTAACAGTAGAAAAATAGCTATCTTAAAAAAAGAAATTTTCAAGTTCGTTTGCTAACAACTGTATTTATTATGATTGTTGTTGATATGTTTTACTTCATTTACATTATTTTTCTATAGAAATATTTCATCATGAAAATATATGAATAGTAAAAACTTTGTCTATGTTTTCTTGACATGTTGTTCTTACCTTTGGCACGGTATGGCACTTTGCCATTAAAAGCAAAGTACCAAATGGTACTTTGGTTACACATTCGACGTGCCGAAAGGTATTATACTTCAGATTCCTATTAAAAACACTGATTATAGATATGACTATGATAAAATATAAAGGTAAAGTCACGCATCACTAAAAATGTTAACAAAACTCACATTTTGTCTTTCTCTTTCTTGCCTTGTCTTTTGACGATATTTGTTCGCGACACACGCTGTGATTAAATATGTGTTGCTCGTTAATATTACTTACAATCAAATAATAATATCGTTCGTTTTTCTTTCAAAAAATAAAATTTTGTTGCAAGCTTCGCACTATACATGTACGCAAACAGCCGTATACACACATATTTAGACTATTTCTTTCGTCTGTTTTTGTGCTTATTTTGACAATAACGGGTAGAGTAAAGAAAGAAATTTGTTTTTCATACTCTCTCTCTCTTTCGACAGTTTCCTCGTTACCCATTACATGTATTCATTTATATTTTTTGTCTAAACGCGTACGTAACAAAATTATTCATCAATCGAATTTCTTTTTTTCACAGTAAGAATGACCCTTTGCAGATGCATGTACATTGATACAATCGAGTATACATGACATATGTATGATTTTAAGAAGAAAATTTCCGTAGTTAAGTTTAGAATATGTCCGCATTTCAATTGTTTATAATTTAACTGGATCAATCTAGAAAGAAAACTGTTTTATTTTTCTCGAGGTAATTTCAAATGCCGAAGGATTCCTATCTTGCACTTTACCATTTCTTTCATTCAATCAAATTGATGTAAATTATACTGTGAAGTTCCTGTGTATTCTCTCCTCGTAATGTATATTCCGTAAGTTAAAAAACAAGATTTTGTAACACTGCTTATCTTCAAGTAATAAGAGCATTTTTAAATGGTAGAAGAATATAGTCTATCAAAAGCAAGTAACATAAAAGTTCTTGTATGAATGTCATTGGGATTTTCTTATGCTAACAACATTTAAAAAATAATTACTGGAAATCTGTATTCAAAACAACCACCTAAATATATTTACTTTGAAGTCATTACGACCCTTACTCAATACTAAGAATCGTCAACGTTGAGAACAAATGAATCATCAAACTCAAATTACTATGACTAAAAATGGGGATCAACTACTTGAAGAACAAATTACACCATTAGCAGGTAAGTGTCTTCACATGAGAATAAAACTCGACCAGAATCCAATACACTTGACTAGTACTGTCTAAAATCGACATTTTTGTTTTGGATTTGAATAAGTATCCAATGAAATACGGTACAAATTAATGATTTATGAACATTTTCATTTAGACACAACGAAAACAGTGTTATCCGATAACGCGTCGCCGTCTTCTACAACGCAAAGATCGAACATACGTCATGATCCGGTTTTTCTTTTTCGCCTACAGATCCTTTTTATGGTTGTTCTTTTTGGGCTTGTTCTTGGTGGTTATGCACTTATAAATATTATTTGTGATACTAATGATTATAGCGATTTTATTCGTACTGTGTTACGGCTATTTTTAACTGTTGCTAGTGGTCTTGGTTTGTTAATTATGCCGCGTATTTGTGGATATTTTGCTCGAATTAGGTTCGAAAAGAACCAAAACGGTTCGAACTGATTTTCTAAAAATAAAGTCTAACCGAAGTGTAACCGAATTAGTTTCTGAAAAGAGAAGATGATCGAAAGAAAACGTAGAATAAAAAAGGTTGATTGACTTACAATTGATATTGCATGAATATGATATTCCTAATAAAGGAAAAAGGATGGGTGAGAGTGGATGTGGATGTGAGTGTGGTTGAGGGTGTCTATGTTTCACAACCACAGCTAATTTTTTGACGACTTCCAATGTTTGTGTGTTTTTGTTATCGCTCAAGAACAAACTCCATCACTTTAATTTTTATAATAATATTCTACAGAGCTAACATCAAGCACGCTTTAAATATTATTGACAGTAGGATCGACGAAACTTTTCCCGCATATCTAATTTATTGTAGATAGTTTTCAAAAAGCACAAAAATGTTAATAAACATTGTCATAATGAATTTTCAAAAAAATAAACTTTCTCAAAATCTATATGAGATATTTACGTAAAAATTTCTTACTTTAAATATTCATTTGCTATAAATATGCGCCATTAAATAAAACATCATTTTACAGGCGACTTTGTTTTTTTTACATGTCGAAAAAGAATGATGATAATAGAATTAGTAATTGGATTCAAAATTGTTGGCACCATTTTTGTTTACGACCTAAAGAAAATTCATCAGAATATTCACATTCTACAACGATAGATAACAGTCATAAGAATACTCGATTTGTATCTCAAGCCGGCAAAGAAATTGTTACGCGTGATTCAAATTTTGATGGTTTACTTCATGATCCAGTTGAAGAAAATATAACATCAATTCTTCATGTCAATGAAAATTTTATATCATCGAAAGACTATACAGAATTAATGCGTATAACAAGTCCATTTCATATAACAGTTGAAACACTTGCTCATCTTATGACAACGATGGAAAAACATTGTCAAATGGGTCTTGAACCCAATACCAATAGTAGTAGTGATCTTAAAATGTTGCCAACATATGTTACAAATTTACCAACACGAAAAGAGCAAGGTGATATTTTAGCTCTTGATCTTGGTGGTACAAATTTTCGTACATTATTAGTTAAACTTCATCCAAATAATGAACCTCAAGTTATTTCTGAAGCACATATTGTACCAGATTCAAAAAAACTTTTAGCTAATGATTTATTTGAATTTATAGTTGATGTATTAAAACAATTTATGATACGAAATCAACTTGATTTAGAACAAGAATATGTACTTGGTTTTACATTTAGTTTTGCTTGTGAACAAATAGCATTAAATAAAGGCAAATTTTTAACACCATCAAAAGGATGGGTTTTATCTGATTTAATTGGACAAGATGTTGTACAAGTACTTCAAAGAATTATCTATCAAAAACAATTAAAAGTAAAAATAACTGCATTAATTAATGATACAGTAGGCACATTAATGGCTTGTGGTGAGTTAATTAGTTAGATGTTATCGAAGATTAATTGTTTTATTCAGCTTATCATGAAAATACTTGTCGAGTTGGTGTTATTCTTGGTAAAAGATTATTTTTCATTGTTGAACTATCTTTATTCTTGTATATGAATAAGGTACTGGTACAAATGCATGTTATTTTGAAGATATTAATAAAATTCATACAATATCTGATCGAGCTGTTCTACCAACAGAAGCTACAGAAATGATTATAAATACTGAATGGGGTGCTCTTGGTATTCTATTATAGATATTTTGTTTTGTTTAGAAAAACTTTATTTTAAATATTTTATTAGGTGAAGGAGGTTGTCTCGATATGTTAATCACAAATTTTGATCGTGAAATTGATCGAATATCAAATAATCCCGGCATACATATATTTGAAAAACTCATATCTGGAATGTATATGGGTCGTTTAGCTGCTGAAGTTTTAGCTTCACTTATTAATCAAGGTATTATTTTAAAAACTCAACGTGATCATAAACAATCTTATCGTTATTATGGACCATTTCATGCACTTTACATGTTACAAACAAGTCATATATCAGAAATTGAACTTGATACTGGTCATACATTTGCTAATACACGAAATGTTCTTAAAAAATTAGGTTTAGATTATGCAACTAATACTGATTGTGCTATTATTTCATATACATGTCGATTAATTTCAAGGTAAAACAATAATTAACAAAATTTTTATGTTTGTTTTTTTTTTGTTTAGACGAGCAGCGATGCTAACTGCTGCAGCAATTGCTGTATTAATGAAACGTTTACATGAAAATAAACAAGTTGCAATGAAAAAAATATGTATTGGTATTGATGGTAGTCTTTATCGTTTTCATCCACGTTTTAATATGGTTATTCAACGTCATTTAAAAATTCTTGCTCCTGTTTTACTCAATTATGAATTACGTATAAGTGCTGATGGTATTGAGATTATTGTTTTTTTCTGTCGAATAGCAATCTATTGTATTGTATTTAGGATCTGGAATTGGTGCTGCTATATGTGCTATAACAGCAAATGATGCTCGTCAAGCTCTTCACAAAGGTGAAATTCAAAAATCATCATTTTATCAACAACATAATAAAATTCCTTGAATAATCTTTAGTATAATACATTTTATAATAAAAGAATTTCTTTGTGTCTAAAAATCTTGTTGAAAAGGAGCAATAATTTATTAAAGTTTGCTACTTTTTTGTCAATAGTTATCAACTTAAACTTATTTTCTTTTTGTTATATAGCTGTTGTTCTTTGAGTAACGAGAAAATTGAAACGGGTAACTTAACTGAAACGTACATATGACAAAAAAAAGTCAAAGAAAAAAGATAAAAGAAATAGATAGATAAACGCCAAGAATGATAATAATAATAATAATAATAATAGTAATATAATAATGATGAAGAAAAGTTTGATGTTTAAATAGATATGTGTATCACACAACAAGAGATAGAAGAAGACCCCAAAAAAAAATGAGAGAATAAAGAAATGCTCATGTATATATGTATAAGAAAGATAGAATAGAGAAGAAATATATTTAACGATTATAATTGCCTTGCGGTACTGGATCTAAGTTTTGTTGAGAAGGCGGTTGTTGTTGTTGTTGTTGTTGTTGTTGTTGTTGTTGTTGTTGTTGTTGCTGCTGCTGTTGCTGTTGTTGTTGCGATTGTTGAGTAAAATAAGCAGGTGCTTCATAAGAATTTGAATGGACATATGTTGGTTGTTGTGATTGTCCTTGTTGAGAAGGATCATATATAACATTATATGCAGGATTGATTTGCGGAGTTATATTTGTTTGAGGTGATGGAACTTGTTGTGGACCAGCAATCCATCCAGTTGGTGCACCATAAGCATAACCAGCTGGTAAAGTTCCATTTAATGTATATTGTGGTGTAATTGAAGGTCCTACACTAGTTTGACTTGATGGACCAGATGTCGATGCTGATCGACCACTAATATTAGATGCACCAGTTGATGAGCCTTGTTGAGATGTAACATTTTGTCCATTATTGTAACCACGTTGTTGATCTGTTGATTGTTGTTGTTGTTGTTGTTGTTGTTGTTGAGGAGGTGATCGTGCTAATTGCCAATTAGGATTCATAGCTGCTGATGAATATAAACTGTACATGCGTGGATCTTGAAAACAACAAATGGATAAATAAAAAAACTATATAATTTTATTTAAATTTACCTGCATAAACACTTGTATAATGAAGTGGAGGTAAACCTGATGATGCTTGTCCTGTTGAAGAACTAGCTGATGGAATCATAATATTTTGAGGTTGACCAACACCCGCAGTTGCTTGAATTAAACCTGATGCATTCACTGGATAATAAAATGGAATCTGTTGCAATTGCATAGATTGTGGATTAGCTGCTATTTGATAATACAGAAAATGAATAGGAAGAAAAGAAAGAAAGAAAAATCTACATACATTGTGTCATATAATCAGGTGAATAATATCGAATTGGTGGAGCTGGATATATCATTTGTGGAGCACCTGACATTTGTTGCTGTTGTTGTTGAGGAATATTTGATTGTTCCGGACGTTGAACAGAGACAACAGCTTTCTTTGATGCTACATTATTTACTCCACCATTACCATTATCTGTACTATGTGTTTGATTATTATTATTATTGTTATTATTATTTATTTTATAAGTTGGACCAGCACTAACTGAACTATTAGGTGTTGTCATTCCACTTGAACTGCCATTATTTGAATTATTTGTATTTGGTCCAGCTCCAATTAATGGTTGTGATGGCATCATTGGTGCACCCATTACTCCAACAGTCATTTGTTGTGGTGCAGCATTAATAAATTGTTGCATATTAGCAAATGGTGTTTGATAATATTGTTGATATAAAGCTGCAGCATTTTGTGCATGCGTTGCTGTCATAATTGGTTGTGTTGATTGCGATGAAATTTGTTGCTGCTGATGTTGTTGCTGTTGCTGTTGTTGTTGTTGTTGTAAAAGATGAATGGCTTGAGGATGAACATGCTGAATATATCCATTCATTGATAGAGAACTTGCTGTTGATGCATCACGTGATTCTGGTCGAGAATTAGTTTCACGCTAAAAGAAAAAATTTTCGTTTTCGAATACTTGAAAAAGAGCAAAAAATATTTTTTACTGGAAAGACAGGAACAAATTCATCTGCTTCAGGATTTAAAGATGGATTGGGTTTCATTGAATTTGGTGTTCTATAAAGAAAGAAAAAACGTAGATTAAAGATTCTTGTTTGCAAAAAAGAAACATACGTTGTTCCAGTTGTTTGTGATTGATTTGTATTAGTTATATCATGACTAGATGTATTATCATCTCGATTTGAAAGTGTTGATGATGCTGTAATATTATTATTATTATTATGATTATTATTATTGGAAGATGATTGTTGTTTTGATTGTAATTGTGATGGACGATTAAGTGTAGTTGTATTTGACTGATTGTTTGAAGAACGTTGTTGTTTTGGTTGTTCAAATTCATCATTCATTGATTGTTTTTCATCTTAAAATATAAAATATTTAGAATTGAAAATCAAAAAAAAAATGTTAATTCTTACTAAGTGATGGTTTCTTTGCCATTTTATTTGGTCCAGATTGTTGATTTGGTGGTGGAGATGTAGTTGGTACAGAATTATTACGTGATGATGAACTACCTGCATATGGTGCTGGTGAATTTCGATTTGCTGATGTTCGATTTCCACTAGGATAAATAGTTCGAGCTGGAATTGTTGTTGATGGACTTGTTGGACCAGAAGTTTGGCCTTGTGAAAAATTGCCACTATTTAATCGTTGATTACGTGTTGGATCTTCATTTGTATGTTGTGATGGTGAATCTCGTCCTTCATGTGGTGATCGATTATCTATTGAACGATTATTACGCGCTATACGAGTGTTATATTGTTGACGATTGTTGTTTGAATTATATTGATTTTGTTTTGGATTATTTCCTCCACCACGACGATTATTATTCATACCTGTATTTCGTTGTTCACGCCAATTATCGCGTCTAATTAAAATGAGAAAATAAATAATAATAAATGAATTTTAGTGTAAAAAAACGAATTACTTCGAAGGATTATATTCAGTATCAATACGAAAATCGTTTCGATTCGAACGATTATGTTTTATATTACTATTTCCATCATCGGCATTATGAGATTCAGCTGGACGTTTAACACCTAATAAGAAAGGAATTGTTGAATGAATAAATCAATTTTTGAATAAAAGTTTTATTTTTATTTACCTGCATCATCTTCATCGACATCTTCATTTCGATTAGTTCTTTCTATTTCTTGAACTTTCTTTTCTACGTCTATTAATTCTGTTGTAGACATTTGACGAACAGGAACATTTCTATATGATATAATATATATATATAAAACTTCAAAAACTATAAATCGAACATACGTATATTTGCTTTCATCAAAATCAGTTGTTGTATTAAATTTTTCTCGATTTGTATGAAACATATCTTCTGGATCGAAACCAGCCTGAAATAAACATAAAAAAAAGAAATAAATATAAATTTATAAATAATTATTTAATTTTACTTTTCCATCATCACCAAGATCAAGATCTTCTAATGTATCAGGATCGATTTCATCTGAACCATAGAAATGTTCCATACGACTGAAACGATCATCTTCTAATTGACTAACTTTAGGATTTTCATCAAGTGAACCTAGATTAAATAATTTTTATTTCAAAAATTATAAAATTATTTTCAATATCTACATTTTGCACTGCCCGATAGATCAATATCCACAGCAATAATTTCCACAATATTCGATGCTTTAATAATTCGTTTGTGTAATTCAAATGTATGTGATGAACTATCAACTGGATCAATAATATCAATAGGTAATGTCGGTGAAGTTAGTATATCATTATTATTATTATCTAATCGATGTGAAACAGTTAAAACAATATCAGCGTTTGGTGAAAGCGTTTCAAGTACACCATGAAATCGTTCATGATCACTTGTTTGTATAACCACTTGTTGACCCTATAATTAAATTAATTAAGTTTCAAATAAAAGAGTTAATCTATGATACGGATATATAGAAACCAAGATTACTGACAAAATTTGTTTTCTATTTTTTCATGATTAAGATCAACTTCTAGACCTACTGACAATAAATGATAAAACCCATACAAAATCATCTAAGCAAGTCTCAAAGTTATGTTTTATACATCAGTGAAATATCTCCACAACTAAAAAAATAATTTACCCAACCGGTCATTTATTTTACTATTTTCTCTTTTGTTTTTTTCATTTTCAACGATTTTATATCAATAGAAAAAAGGCGTAATCTTGAATAGGTGGGAATTTTCAATTTTTATATCTTAAAAGCAAATTATTGTTTACATACTGACAACTTTAATCATCAGTTACTTAGTATTACCTGACAACTGATCATTTCCTATTGCTATTAGATTTGAAAGTAGCGCGTTTCCTTCCTACAACCATACTGAAACTTCGCAATAGAAAATAAAATTGCCCAAATTTTATAATATTGCGTCTATAATTGATAATATTTATTAGATTGAATTTCATCTACTATATAATTATATGTATTTATAACGTCACATTCAATTTTAGAATATTCAACATAAAAAGGACTTACGACTAATCCACTACTTATTGCATGAATAAATCGAGCATTCCGATAAATACCATCATACTAGATTATAAGTACAAAAATGTATTTTTATTTCAATAAAATTCTATAACATACTTGCGAAACATTTCTCATTAAAGATGATCGTTGTAAATTTGTATCAAATCTAAATAAAATAATGATTTTTGTTTTTAAAGAAAAAAAGGATATTTCTTACTCAGCATTATTTCCAGTTGGATAATTTAAATTTGATGTCGGTTCATTTATATCATATGAATTACTGGGACCATTTGCATGATGAGTATTCAAAGATGTTGTTTTACTATTTGATGTTGTTCGTGTAGCACTTCGTGTTGAAGACATTATCAATGAATTAAAACAAGAAAATAAATCTGAACTATTCACCAAAGATTATACACAGAGACAGGAGTTATTTAAATTAAATCAAGAAAGAAAACGACGTTGAACACACCCTCACACACCAAATAAAACAGTTACGTTAACTTAATAATATTTTAAATAGTAATTCTAAACAAAACAAAAAAAAATAATTTAGTAAATTAATTCAAATAATTTCATAGATTATCAGCGTGAAAAAGGATTCATTCTGATGACATCGTATTGAAAGGAATGATAAAAAAAGACAAATCTTCTTTGACCATCCTTTTTTTGTCTTAGTTGATCAATTGATTGTAGTGACATCATTAAAAAATTAACAAATATTTATTTAATAAAATTTTTCATTTATTTATAATAAAAATTTTCCTAAAACTAAAATCTAAATTTAATAATTCTATTTTTTTCATTCGCTACTAACAATGTCTATTATTGTTTTGATAGTAGCACAATCTATCTTTAACCAATGTATATATATATATGTGTGTATATTTAAGTTAAGTTCGATTTGCCCACTTTCATATGTTTATATGACAGGGAATAAACTAATAAATTAAAATAAAATAATTATAAAGAATAATTTTTAATTAAACGTTAATTTTTTTAGATATAAACACGCATATATATATATATATTCAAATATAAACTGGTTGTTGGCCCCTGGAAGATATTATTTATTAGTGTAGATATTGTGTCATGTTAGTGGAATATTATCGTCATTGATATTAAATCTTTATATGTTTTATCAATCAAAGAAAACCGCTACAACATCGTATCAATTCATTTGTGCTGTTTTCAGACTGAGTACGATGACTCTTAAAAAAAATTTTATTTAAGATTAAAATCACATTTTTAAACGATTATATACATTGGAGAAAAGGCTAACTAGAGAATTTTATAAATTCTATCATATGATTTGGATTATTTAAGAATAATTTGTAATCCTATCTATAGACTATCAGAATACAACAGTCTAAGCGCAAGCATTTTTTTTACGAACTTTGTAAGAAGTATATCGTTCTTAAAAATGAAGTTGCACAGCTTGTATGGTATACACGAATGATTCTTTATTAAATACTGCCGTTGAATAGTGTGATATAGTGACATCATCGTTGAAGTTTATCTTTTATATTTAGGTTTTTTCCTTTTTCTTTCCTATGACATATTACCTTTTTATTCTATGAAATATACCAATACGTCACTATATATGTATATATATGGCGAAATAAACTAATATTTCATATCGCATTGCTCTTCTTGATCATACATCAAGGCGTAATAAATAGTAAAGTATTACTCTATTTTATTGAATATAGTAGATATTTTGAATATCACTAAAGAAAGAAAAATTTGAATGAATGATAAATTTAAAAGGATATTGAGATGCAGTTTCTTCTATGGTATAGAAAAGACATTGATACGGGCATTTATATAAGAATTATTATCTTAATAAAATCACTTTTAGTAATTTTGAATGTGTTTAAATCTCCGATCTCAGATTTAAGTTCGAGGTGATTCTTGAACATAAATTATTGATTGACTTGGTGATAACTATAGTTCGAATTTTAAGTTATATTCGTGTATTTTTCCATAAGAACAGGCAAACTATTTCTTTGTTATATCTACAGAAAGATATGAGCATAGATCATAAATGATTTTAAAGATTCTCAAAAAAGTTTTGATAAATATATGTGTTCTAAGAAATTGATTAGACTGTTTTACAACAGAGAATAAATTTTAATATTATCCATACTTCACTGATTTTATATAGCATTATTCTTTCTACTAGAATTTTTAAAAAATTAGAATTTCCGAAAATAAAATAAGAAATTATTTAAATAAACAAAGTGTGAATAAAATATTTGAAATGAATATAAAATAAAGTTTCGTTGCTGAAATTAAATAATAAAGAATCTGATCTATATCAGAGCATGTTTTTGAAGATGGATTGCGGTCTAAATTTAATAAAGTTTTTCCTATATAAAAACAATAACAAATTTTAAAATAAATGATAGTTCTCTTATTTCATATTGTTTTGTTTTTCTATTAATCATAGATTCTCCTGCATTTTTCTTTTGTTGATTATGGTCTTTGCCGATCTAAATACAATCGAAAACGACATGTCGTCGATTGCATCTGGTGGTGGTACATTTTCAAATATGAATACTTCTCTCCTTCAACCAACAAAATCTATTCCACAAACAAATCCTTCATCTACAACAAATGTCACAACATCTTCATCCAATGATATATCTCTTCCTATTTATGATACAAACGATCCACGAGCAATACTCAAAGCATTAATTCGTTTTATAATGCGTACATTTTATGAAGTTCCAAAATCTCTTGTTATTGAATATATTTATCATTATGAACGAATAAAACAACAAGATTTAGCTGATCTTTTATGTTTAGATACAAAATTAGTTCGTTCATTTATTCAAGAATTTAAACGTGATAAATTTATTATAGAAGATCATCGTCTTGAATCTAATGATGGTACAACTGGTCGACGTACACAAGATCAATATTATTATAAAATTGATACAACAACATTTATTAATGTTGTTCGATATCGTTTAATACATATGCAAATGCATGTCGAAAGTTTTGAACGACAACAAACATATAAACAATCAAATTATAAATGTGAACAATGTGCAAAAGAATATACAGAATTAGATGTTGGAAAATTATATGATTTTACACAAGATACATTTATATGTTTAATATGTGGTGGTGTTGTACATGAAGATGTTGAAACAAAAGATGCAACAACAACAACAGCAAATCGACAAACAGTTAATGTTAGTTTATTTAATGAACAAATGAAACCAATATATAAAATCCTGAAACAAATTGATGAAATTATGAAAAATGAACAACAAATAAAAAATTCTTCCGATCAAGATTTTTTTCAACAAAATGGAAATTCTTCTTTAACATCATCAAATCATAATGCTAGTAAAGAAGGACCATCAGCAAATACTCATCGTTCGCATGCATCCAATGTATTTGATCGTACAACAGCAATTAGTCATGAAATACAAATTGTTATTGAAAAAGATGAAGATGATCATTATTCACAAATGGATATTGATGAAACAAGTAATACAGATTCATTAATAGGATCATCACGTGGTCCTGGTAAACCAGGTAAAAAATCTAATAAGCCCGTTCAAACAACAGCTGAAGTTGCAGCACAACCATTATCATTAAAAATGAAATTAGCTAGTAAAAAAGTTCCATATGAACCTAAACCATTACCACAATGGTTTGTTCATTCCACAGTTCATACTGATCATGATGAAGAACATCGTTTAAATAATTTATCATTAAATTCAACAACAAATTCATCGAGTATCTCACGACAATTATCCAATCAAAAATTAGTGAAATCAACAAGTATAAATGATATTAAACAAATGTTACTTATGCATGAATCACGAAGCAAAAAAAAAACATTAACATTAACAACAATGGAAGATTCTTTGAGTCCACCAACACCTATACAAATGTCTAAAACGACTGATTCACAATAACAATGTAAAGTTTTGTTTACGTGCAAATATATATGAAAAAGCACTTGATTTATATATAAATAACTGTCGCTCTAACAAATAAAAAAATATAAACTAAAAAAAAACAATTTCAAATGTTCGAAATAAAAAAGATCTAATGGTCTATAAAAGAAAAATAAATACTCATAATTTCAAAACTGAAAATAAGAGAAATATATTTACTAATTTATCTAGTTAAAACATAAATCAGATAAGATAGTAATTGATTGTCAGTATTTAAATTTCTGCTTTGAAATAATTTAATGACAGAGAAGAGTTTGATTGAATATTGAATTTAATGATCGAAAACAATTGTTTATTTGTTTCTAATACAAAGAAACTTTTACAATACGTAGTTGGCAAGATTTTGAGGATAGTTGATTAAAATTAATATGAAATATACCAAAATAAGAGCATATCATTTCATTACAATAAATAACGCTTGTCGAGGGTGACCCACTTGACACTCGATTGAATCATTAATTTAAAATAAAGTAATCTTTTTGCATGTTTCTCAGGGAAACGATAGACACATGCATGTAGAGATAGCTTCTCAAGAATTGTCCTCATTCATCTAACAATCTTATATAAATGACTTTGAAGGGTTATCAGTGACGGTGAGGATATCTCCCTTACGTTCACTCTCACACCTTCACTCTAGCTTCTTAACTTGTCGAAAAACACTCAACTTTATATACATGATTTTTAACCATATTTTGACAATTGTTTATGAGCGTTTGGGAATCAAATCACTCTAATTCTGCACAGCTTTATTCAGATGAGTTAAAAATGTGGGCAGAGGTTTCCGATAATGCAGCTCAGGTCAAATTCACCTTGTTGGATCTAATAGGAATTTCTCAAATACTTGGTATAGGATTCCGACAAAATCCGATATTTTCTTCAATAGAATTCGATGAGATCCGACTGCTGATTTGTTTGTCCTGAGTGAACAAGAAGAAAGTGAAAAATCAAAATTTTGATGATTGTTTCGATATTTAGCATGCCCATTCACGATATAGTGAATCCTCTTCAAATAAACAGATGAGAAATTCTCCGCTAGCTAACTTTATTCTGAATAGAAAAGGAGAAAGCAATAAAGTTTATACACATAAAAGGAGCGAGTAATAAAGTTCATACGCACAAAAGAAGAAAGTAACAACGTTTGTATAAAGAAAATTTTAATCTTGTTTTTCATTAATCCGGTATAGATAAACAGAACTCGCAGTACTGTTCACACGTTCCAGGAATTAGAGGTACTCCATGCAATATTCCAATTCCAGCACGAACGAGGCATTCTGCCATACAGAGACCAAATGATATAGATCCAGCCGCTGTTGAATGGAAATTCATTGAAAGTAAAAGCATAAGGACCAACAGTGCGCGAAACATAGCCATTTTGATAAGAAAACTAATAGGTAACTTTAACTTATAAGCAGATGCGAAGGAATTTATACATTCGTCTCTTCTATGATAGGAATTTTCCGAATGTAGGATCTTTATTTGAATAGAATAGACATGAATGTATTGTAACACAAACTTAAATCGAAAATCTTTTTTTCTCTCTCTCTCTCTTTTTCGTGTACTTCTTCTGACAAAAGATATATGTTATCTTTCGTTATTTTCTTCTATTATACGGATATTTCCATGTTCTTTTCTTTCTATGCGTATGACGTTTCACATATGTATAGTTGAAACTTTTCCTACAGTTCATAGTTATGTTGTTTTTTTCCTTTGGTCGAAATATAGATACAGTCAGCTTTTAACAGAGAGGAGGAAGAGAGCAAGCGATCATTCTAATTCGCCTTACTTAGAAACTTGATATTTGAGCTGTTATCTTTATGACTGACTGCATAAACAGCAAAATGAAGAAGAAAAAATTAATCACTGAATATATTTTTGGTCAAACAGAAAAAAGTTCGATAAAAGAGAGAATTTTTTAGTCTATTAAGAATTCATATGATTGCACAAGCATCTTACAATTGAAAAAAAGTATATAACTATTATATCAGTTATTTAATAATATTGTTATATAATAATTCTTTATCTATTTCAATAAATTCCATTTGATATTTTTCCCACCATTTATTCATAACTTGTACAAATAGATTAGCTTGTTCTTTTGATAAGTGATAACGTGTTATGAGGATTTGATCAAATTCTGACATATTTTTTAAGAAAATGAATATAAGATCATGAATATAAAAAAGACCATCATTATACATTGATTGAAGTGAATGTTTTGATAGATGAAGTTCTTCAAATAATTTATCTTGATTAAAAGAACTATATTTTACTGTCGAACAACAATCATTATTGGATAGTTTTCGTTTTAAACATGTATAAAAATTATTATTTGTTTCATTTGATAGTTTTCTATTTGATTTAAATGATGAATTACAAGTATCACTTTCAGAATTAAATAACATATAATCATTTTCTACTATATGTTCTTGGCATATATCATAATGTTTTGCTTTCGATGGCAATACCAGCTGATGAGCTGTACTTAATGATGACAGGATTTCATTATTTCCACAAGAATATAATGATTGATTACTATCCATTATTCTATAATTAATAAAAGATTCAAGTTTTCATATTATCGCAATAAAACAATCAAAGTGTATTCAAGTCTAACGTTTATTTATCACATAGCAAGACATATCTGTAATAGCATCATGCACTAGAAAAGTTGGAAGAATAAAAATAGAAGCTGGCATTTATTAAAGTACAAAAAAATATTCGATGCACTCACTAAATCAGCTAAAGTACTCAATGATATATAGCATCTGAAAACTATTTGATAATTATAAGGACATTTTACTTAGAACAAATCCATGTTGATCGATTACGATCAAGTTCATTATGTGTCATATCTATTGTTTGTGTTGCACATTCACATTGAAGAGAAGGAAGTTCATTTGTAGAAATATTACACTCAATTTTATCTATTTCTTGTTTACGAGTAAAACGAACACGTTTTTCTTTTTGTTCATCATTTAATAAAATTTCTTGATTATTAATTCGATACAATTCATCAACGATTGAACGAATAATATGTAATCTTTCATCTTGATAATTATTAGTTTGTGTTGAATATTTATTTATCATATTAAAGAAAAGAATTTTAAAAATTATCAAAACTATATTCATAGACTTTTATCTATAAAATAGGCGCACACATCTATTTATAATGTACGATAGAAATCAATAGCTATTATAGGCTATATATTAACTCCCAAATTTCTTTCTATCTTGAATCATTTCAATGTAATTGTATTGGTATTTCTTTTGTCGTCATTTGTATTCCAAAAAGTATGCCATGATGTTAGTACGTGCATCTGCATATCAATTATATCTTTATGAATACAATCATGCTATCTCATTTTTCTTTCTTTTTTTCTTTCTTCCTACATGTTTTATACTCATTTGTCTTTAGTTTCTTTCTAAACTTGTATGAATAAAATCTTTTTGGGCATTGTTAGTTATAACTTTAAGAGGATTGAAAATATTCAATATGAAAGGATTCTTATTTCTCTTATTTCTATCGATAAATGAAATTAATATTTCACAACAAATTGTAACGGCAGCAATATTATCCAATTTAAATCAAAATGATTCTCTTGAAGAGGTAAATCAAATGAATACATAATGAATAAACTACATTATTTATTAACTAGGTTGTTGATACAAATTCATCAAGATTATTATCTGAAAATAAAGAAACAGATATAACTCCAATCGAACTAGTATTTGATAATAAATATTCAGACCAAATCGCAGAAGAATCAAATATAAGTACAGAAGTATTTCATTCTGGTCCACAATATGAAGTTAATTGGTCATTCATTGACAAAGAAACAGTATGTGCTAATTTTTCTCTATTTCTATTTTCAAATTCTTCAAATACAACAAATTCATTTAAAAATACAAATCAAATTAAAATCAATAATACATATCCTCATATGGTTTCAATACCACAACGTTCAAATCATTCGATTTATTCGTTAAAATATTTTCTTTTTATTATTCGACATTATAAACAAAAAAAAGTCACAGAAAAACAACTTTACATGGAACAATTAACTCTTAAAAATTCATCAGTTGGAATTAATGATCATTTTTCAAATACATTACTATTAATTCGATTGAATGCAAAAGAAAAATATTCCGTATGTATATATTATTACCAAGTTAATAGTTCAACACAAATGCCAGATTTATTTATCTGTCAAGATATTATACATGATCATGTACATTCAACACATGGTCTTCTATTTGTCTTAACACAATATTCAATTATTCTTGGTTTACTTATTGTTTTACAAGGTTTATATTCAATGAGAAAACGTCGTTTAGCTCATATTGTTCATCAACATTTACTTAATAAAACACAACGAATTCGTTCTACACTTTCATCAGTTAGTCTTATTCGTCATTCATTTTCTTCTATGGATGGAGCAACTGAACACAAACATACAATGAATGGTCATATAGAAAATAAACTTCATAAAAGAATTATATCATCACCAGCTATTGTTCTTAGTGATCCATCAGTACCATTACATAATAATTCCGATGAAAATGAACCATTTCTTAAATTAACATCAAGTAAAAATCATGTACATTTTTTACTTGGCCTAGACGAAGGATCTGATGATAATGATAGTGGAGATATACAAATTGATTCAACAGTCAATCAGCAAGTACCATCCATACAAACTGAACCTTATAGTGATCAACCGGATGCATTATTATATATGGCTCATATTCTCGATACAAATAAACCATGGTGTAAACATAGCCATTCTACAATGCCAGTATAATGACAATACAAAGTTTTTCATATTTTTTATTTCCTATCTTCTATTATCGGGACAATTGTCCTTTCCATTTATGTTTATATAGACAACAAAATATGATCGAACCACACACGCATACACATACACTTATACATACATAAAGATGAAGAAGAACAAAAAAAGAGAGAATCACAAAACCAAAAAAAAACAGATATGAAACGCAAAATCTTTATGTATGTACTAGACGAAAAAAACATATCTTTTTCTATGTTTGTATCTTATATATTGATATACACAATAGCCAAGAACGAAGAAAAAAAAACAGAAGTAATGAGCACATTAGTTAGTTTATAAATAGAGAAAGAGAAATAAGGATAACAAAAACAGAAAAAATTGCTTGTCAATCAATAGAAACATATTTTTTAGAAACAAAAAATTTTTTTTTGAAGAAGAAGTGATGTGCTTAAAATAGAAAAAGTAAAGTAACATAGATTTACACACGACTAGTTTATTCGAATCGGTTTTTCTGAAAAAAGTGATTTACGAGTCTTGCGTGGGTTCGATGTCGATGGTAATTCTAAACCAAGCCAACATGTACCTAAATATAAACAATCACGTTTTGTTAAAATATCAAAAAGAAACAAAAAACTAATTCAATTTACTTTGTACTAATTTCAATTCATTTACATTAATTCTTCCCATATTATCATCACATCTTGAAATTACTTTACTACCATTAAATATCGAAAATCGATATTTCTCAAATTCTCGATTAAGAAGACGCATTTTTGTTTGTAAACGTTGTTTAACATCACCAAAAGATTCATTCTAGAGAATAATTCGATTTAATTAGTTGAAAATAGTAAAAAAACGCAAAGTTTTATCTTACATGTATTACTTTAAGGAGAAATGGAAAGAATTTTTGAAGATTTATTTGAATTACATTGTCCTAAAAAAAGAAAATGATACAAATTTTTGTACACAAAACAATTCATTTAATTACTCTGGTGTAATGTGCAACAGGTATTAGTTCAGTATCTTTTCCAAGATCAATCTCATCCATAGCTATTTCTTCCAAATGATAATAACGATTTGAACAATTCTCAAGTTCATCCATACATGATCGATCAGACCATATATGAAGATGAAATGGAAGAGAATTTATTGGACCGGATAATGTTACTTCAATCAATCTAAACAAAAGAAAAACGTAATAATTATATTATGAACTACATTTCATGTCATATTCTTTTTCCAAAGCATATGAATGTATTGAATTGCGGTACTATATCATAAGTGATTAGATTACTCTATTTTAAATTAAAGCGAAGTAAAAAGCGTACATTCAGAGACTCACGGAGCACTTCATCATATATCTTAAGAAATCTTTTGAAACTTGTTTTGCAAACAGATCTTATTCATTTGATCGGAAATTTTCTTCCCAATAGTCTGCAAGAATAGATAGTTTCTTTTCAAATGAAGCTTATTCTTGTCAAATTCATAGGGGACCCAAAGCAGAAGAAATAGACAAATTATCAAATGAATTAGTTTACCTCAATTGTTGACTACCATTCTCTGAACAAATTGTAGGCAACCACTGTTTAACTTCATCAAGAAATTCTGCAACAGTCGAAGATTTTTTAACATAAAGTTGAACTTCACGTTGTTCATCTTTTTTCATTGGATTCGTAAAAAAGATTCGAATTGGACGCCGTTGTTCAAGTTCAGTATAAAGAAAAGGTAACTAAAAGAAAAAAAATACAATAAATCCTTAAAACAAAAGGAAAAGATTTTTACTCGTCTAAAATAAATTTTTCGTGGTGATGTGACAGAACCACGTGTATTCGAATAAAGATCTCTTAATGTTTGATCAGTTGATATATGTAATGAGCTTGCAGAAGATGTATTATTTGATAATGATGCTGAACTATAAAAATCCAAAAGAATTTTATTAAATTATTTAAATCAAAAAAATTTACGTTGATGGTTTTAGTAAAATAATTTGTTGTTGAGAATATTCAATACGTTCAGCAATTAATCGAATAACTTCTTTAATTGTCGTTTTCATTGGAAGATATAATTTAAATAAACATTCATTTCGTAAACTATCTCGATTACAAACATCAAATTCCTGACGATTTTCGATATTTCTAAAAATACAAAATATTTAAATAATAAACAAATTTGTTTTTTTTTATATTACCGAAAATAATCTTCAACTGTTGTTAATGGATAATCATCATTTGTTTGATTAATATCAATTATTTGTATTATAATTGATACACCTGATAAGCATGGATCAAGTACTTGATTTAATGATAAATCATACGTTGAAGCTTTAATTAATTCATATTGATGTGTTTGATTATGTGTTGGAACAGCTTGATGAACAATAAATGTTGTTGAAGGTGATATAGAGATTTTTATTTGAAGTGCTATATCATGTAAACATTTTTCTATTAAAGAAAAAATGAAAACTTTTTTCAGGATAAAAAGAAAAATTTTTTCTACTTACGAAATGATTGTTGTTGAGGGAAAAGAAAATGACTAATGTATAAAAGAGATTCATATCGAGAATTATAAAATCGAACAAATATTAATAGATCATCTAATTAAATAACAAAAAAAGGTTATATTTATTTCATTTTCAAAAGAAAATCTTCTTACCATCTTTATCAAAAGATAATAATTGATAAATACTATTTAGAAATACTTTTTGTTCAACAAATATTGATAAAGTTCGTCGATCTGATATATCATATTCAAATAGATCAATTATCTATTAAGAGAAGAATAAAATAAGATGAGATTCATGTTTTTTATTTACTTTTTTATCATAATCATCACAATAAACAAGTGCAGATGTAAGTAATGGTTGAGAATGATAATGATGATGATTAGCATGAATTTCATGTGTATGAACAATCCATACACGTATATCTTCATCAAGATTTACTCCCTAAAAATACAAAGAATTTTATTTTTGTACAGAAATTTTCATAGTGATTTAACATCGTTAGAGTTATATTTCAGTAAAAATAACTATAATTAATAATTCATCTTGAAGATTATACTGTTTCAACGAGAGTAATAAATTGTAATTCTATGAAACTCAAATAATTATCAGCGTTAGTATTCATAGCGAACAAATCAGCCCTAAGTATCGTTAAAATACAAAGCAGAAAACAGTGTTACATGAGTATCATTAGGATCTCAAAAGAATTTTTCTAATAAAGTAATTATAATTTTAGAAATATTCTACGAATTACCTCTTCGACATTAGTTATAAATGAATGGGAAAATTTCTATTACAGAAAATCGTCTTAATTATGAATATTTTTAAATTCAACGGAGCAATTTATGTTGAACCTATATCTCTTTGGGTATCATAACCTATGATCAATATTTTGTCCAAGATTTTTTACCCCAGGAAAATGATTTAAAACTATAGAAAGTAAAGTGTCAAGAAGGAAAGCCTATTTTCACATTGAGTCGAATAGAATCCCGAAAGATGGGTGAGGTTGAAAGAGTTCAAACCCCCATTCGCACTTTTCGTAGTTCATTCAGTGATCTATTATCTTTTCAAAAGTAAATATAATTCATACCAATGCATATGCTAAACGTCTTGCAAATACACGAAATATTTCTGAATGTTGAGCTTGTATATATCTTAAACAACGTTTATTTTGTAATAATTCAACCGGACTTAAAATAAAAATAACAATCAATTAGTTTTTCAAAAAAAAACTAATAATTTTTTTTCTTACTTTTCACAAATAAGTTCCGTTAAACAAATTGTTTGTTGAGTATGAAAATCATCTGTTAATATTATTTGTATATCAACAAATCCATCATTATCCATCATATCTTGACGACGTTTTAACAGATATTTTCTTCAATAATATAAAATAAAATTTTTCTTAAGATAAAAATTTCTCCTCTTACTTATCATAATCAAATCTAGTTATTAAATTTTCTGGAATATCTTCTTGATTAACATCACATAAAACATCTTCTAAAAAAACAACAAATAAATAATTTTTCACAAATCATATTATAATTTACTTTGACAATCTTCACGTATGTAAACAAGCATATAAGCTGATGTATTATACATACTACCATCATCATCTTGTGTACCGCCAAAATTTCTTTCCATTGCATCACTTGCTGCGACTCGTGCAACAACATCATCATCAAATTTAAACCACTAATACAAAAGAATAAAATATATTTAGAAATAAATCAATTTTGATGTTTTTACTTGTCCATCTAATGTTGGATTGATAAAAGAGACATAATGACCACTTGAATTATCTCCACTATGTACTAATATTGATAGTAATTTATATGAACATGATGAACAATCCGGATTTTCAAGAAATTCACTTAAATCAAGATGATAATCAAATGAATAACTATCATTGATTTTTCGATGTTGTGATAAATTATAATCATATTCAAAACGTAATAAATGAAGACATAAAACAGGCGGAAATTTTTGAAATTTTACACCTTTTTCAGCTTCCTACAAATATTTATTAAAAGTACATCAATAGAAAACAATTGATTTTATTAAATAAAAACAAACCTGTAAACCATGAATACTACCAGCATCATATAAATTTTCACCTGTTAATATTTCACTTTTACAAAAATCTCGAAAACTCTCCGTGACTAAATTAAAATCAATGAATATTAAATAATACTAAGAATTATTATTAACTTACTATTGGCATTATTTCGTACTTGTAATGGAACATCATAAAATGTTTGTTTTACTCGAGATTCATGATTAACTTTTGTACATCGAACATATTGCTTAATAAATAAAAGGAAAAAAAATGTATTTTAATTCGAATTAAAACATCATCATAGATTTTTTAGGTAGTCGTCGAGTCTTTATATCTTCTTAAGTGCTATGCCATAACTATAAGTCTCCTTCGTGTTCAAAAAATATAATTTACCACATATTGTCCTTGAAATAATGATGGAATAACGCCTTCCATTGTCGTACCTTCCATTTTTGACTCCAATTTATCAAGTAACTATGAAAAATATATAACTATATTGAATGATTCAACATTCTTTTCTAACGTACCACTCGACAAAATTCTTGAATATCATGTTGACAAAATTCATCCGGTTTGTCCCACCTAGAAAAGAGAAAGACAAAAAATAGTTAGATATCAACTAAAAATCCATCGAAGATCTATACCCAAATGAACGTGTCAATTTTTTTGTACTAACTGGTCGATCAGTAAATTGAAGATCATAGAAAAGTTTTTGTAAAGCAAGTGGAATGCTATGTAATTGATCATCACTATCCGTTGGTAAAGAATATACAGCCTAAAGATCAATAAATAATTTAAACATAAATATATATTTCTCTAATGAATATTAATAATTAATAAGTACAGATTTAGAAAAGTATTAAATAAAAATCAAACAAAACTATATATGATAGGAGTAAAGTCACTATTGATACTTTTCCTCTCATTAATTATCGATTACCTTGAGTCTCGAATTAAGTATAGTATTGCAATGACCTTACAAGAGAAATATCTAATCTGTCTACGTCTATATTGATTCTTTTATGTGTTATCTATTAAGATAGAAAAACGCCTGAAGAAATACGAATTTATGAACAGTTGATCAAGGCTTATAATGATTTCATTGAGTTTTCAGGGTATCGGTAGTTGTTTCAAAGAAATGTTCAATAGTTCTTTAAATATTGAGCCTTTCAGAATTGATTACTTGTCATTACAAAAATCGAATTCACTTGAAGGATCAGTATTCAAAGACAAATATATCCATGTAAACTAGATTCATATATTTCTCCTATTAGCTCGAATCTTTTTCATATCTTCATAAACTCTAATCAATGAATCAGTAGCGCTTTAAACGACGTCAACGAACCCGCCGTAATTTTTTGGTAAAATAAATTGTTTGTAAAAACGAATTCATATAACAAGTTGCACCAATATTTCTCAAACCAACAAAACCAGTTTGTCCTTTTGAATCCCATCTAAAAACGAGATTTTTAATACATATATATTTATATAAAATTTTCAACTTACTCAACATTACGTGGAGCATCTGCATGAATTTTTGCTTCAATTCGAATTATACTATCTGGCCAATGGATATATTCACTATAGATTTCCTAAAATCAATAAAATGTAAATGACGTCTATACTATTTTCAGAAATATACTTTTAATGATTTAAATTGATGAAATCCCCAATCGATTGATCGTGCATTAAATAAATGATTGATTTCTATTATAAATTAAAATATACGGAATAAAAAAATGTATTATTCACAAAGAAGATTGTCTTTACTTTTTACAAAATTTTTATTCGGATCAGTTGGATGTAATAGAGTTAATTCAGCTTTAGAAAATATTGACCAACCTGGTGAAAGTTTTTCTGGTTCACATTTAAGAAAAAGACTGAATGTTCCACCATCATTATGACAATTATCATAATTCGGTTTAGAAAAAGCTAATAAAGTCCATACAAATGTACGTATTATCGATGGATCACTTGTTAATTGACCATATTGTGGTCTTGATGGTGCAATAATATGAAAACGAATCGACCCATCATAACGAAATACTATGTAGAAGTAAATAAGAAAATCTTTTCTTTATTTCTCTATGATTTTCTTACTATCATCTTTTCCATTATCAAAACTGACATGAATAATTGAATCATCTGAAAAACCTTCTGGTTCAGCTTCAGTTGCTTCTTCATCTTCATCATCATCATCTTCTTCATCGTCTTCTTCTTCTTCTTCAGATCTTTCTGATTGAACGGGTGAATGACCTTTTATTAAATAAAAAGAAAATATTATTTTAACTTTAAAAACAAAAAATAATTAAATTTTCTATTTTTTACCATTTGTTATGCCATTTTCTTGTTCATATTGATCTACTTGTGTTTCATCGTCATTTTCTGATTCGGTTGTATGATGTGATGATGAACGTCGAAGTTTTTTTGATTGTGGAGAATCAATTGGACTAGATGGTTGAATATTCTGATCGATTAATGATGAATTATTATCATTTGTTGTTGCTGAACATTCTTCAGCAAGATATGTTCGTTTAATACCACTCATTTTATTATTAAATTTTGTAGAAAATGGCTCATTTTCTAAAACATTATATATGTTCAACTATAGGATATTACTATACATGCATATTAAAGGTTTCATTCAACTGTTTGATTTATATGAGTCATCATCTATTAACAACAGAGAAAAGAAGAGAAGGAAAAAAATTCATCGATTGATTATTTAGTTTTTGTTTTAAACATTTATTGAATAGAATTATTTACAAAAAAAAACAGAAAATTTTTTTGTTCACTTGTAAATTCATTACTTTTTTATTGATTTTTTTAATATAAATATATTTTAATAAAAATGTTTAAATAAGTAACGACATCTATGACAGATAAATGTATAACCAGCAAAAACTATGAACATATATTTCGAAGAAAAGTAATGCGAAATTTAGAATACTAGCTAAATTATCGTATGAAAAATAATTCCAATGATAAATTAATATTCTTGAGAACTTCGTTGTTCAGAATCTCAATTTACTTATAAATATATAGAATAGAAGAGCCCATTAGCGTAACACTTTACACGCGATAGCCTCGAGATATAAAAATATTTTTGAAGTTAATGTCACTATCATACTGATTAAATTAAGTTTTATTAAGAAAATAATGTTTTTCAATTGTATTTATATTAATAGTAAGATGAATGAAATGCAAAAATAGTCATATGATATATAGGAAAAGTTTTAAGGAATCAGTAGCGACTTTAGAATCACAAATTTTTCTTAGTATAATAGAATGATATTGTAATCATTTGATTAAGATTTGATTTTTTTGTTTGCTATTGTTCAATTCGACATGTTGACAATATCATTTATCGTACTGTAACATACATTTATGTATAGCTCCAAGGTAAACTATTTCTAAGACTACAGGTTTAACTCATACAAATAGTAATTGACTTTCCCGTTGAATAATATGTAGAGTATGTGAAAGGTCAAATATGAACAGGTCTAGGTAAACTGACATTCTGATAAGGAACAAAAAATTTCAAATATGTCACATCTTATTCTAGTAGGATAATCAAAGGTGAATGATCAATAAGAAATAGAATAAATAGGTTATTATCACTTGAAAACTCATCATCATCAATAATCAATTTTCTGTTCATTCAGTATATATATTCTCAAGCGTAAGTCTATATTTTTATCTAAATTAATCAACTGATATAATAATAGAAAGATAAATAAATAGTACATCTCTTTTTATCTTATTATATATTCGATCATTTATTTTCCACGAGTTATAACACATATAAATCTATCTCAACGAACAGAATGACAAATACTATTACTCTATAGATACACTCATGTAAAATTTGTAAAGAACAAATATATTTTTTACTCTTAATGTTTCATTTTTTTAAAGTACACACTGACTATATAAAATCGAACTTTTTTTTTTGTTGTTTTTTCCTTATGACACATTTAGTTGCGTATAATTCATATGTTGTTTATTCATGAAAGCCTCGAAATCAATAGTGCTCTTGTTTACATAAAAACCCACATTGTGAAGTGTGGGATGTCAACTAAACCGTCATCCAAAAATAAAACCCTAAAAAAATTTCATCAGCGATAGATGTCATTAAATGTTTGAAAGAACTTTCATTGAACATGAACATTTGTCATGTATGAACGGCTGGTTTCTTTTTTTAACCAATAAAAAAGACAATACTATAGGAAAAAAATAAAAAAAAAACTTAATTTAAATCGTTCTAAATCTAAAGTGTAGACAAGTAAAAAGAAAATTCATTCATTTCTGTTGGTTGTCGATATTTTTTCAAAATTTGAAAAGGAAGAAAAAAAAAAGAAAAGAAAAGAAAAAAATCTTTATAATACCTAGCATTTCACCATCAATCTACCCTTGTGTATGCCTTACACAACATACATTATATAAAAAAGAATTAAAAAAAATAAACAAAATTATTTTTCTTTTTTTTTCTTTCATATTCAGCATGTTGATATAACGGATTATAGAATAGTAGATGTATTATGTTCACAACTGCTTATCGAAATAATCATTCTTCGACATCATTTCCAAAACGAAATATCCGTACATCAACAACAGTAAATGCAATGACAAACGAACAGTCAAGATTTCCATTACGAGCAAATCATCTTCGTGTTCCAATACCACCTATAGGTGAACCATTATCAATAAATTCAACTAATATGAAACATTCTGCATCGTCACAATGTTTAACATCACCACGTCATCATTTTAATACAAATGAAAGTGTATCAGTAAAATCTTCAAAAAAGATATATACATTTAGTAATCTACCATGTGAACTTCCACGCTATAGAAGATCATCACATAGTAGCGTATTACAGCAACGTGTATCATCAGCACCTGATGAAAATTCTCCACGTTCAAGATTAAATCAACCAAAATCATCATCAGCAAATGAATCATTAACACCACGTTTATATGTTGATGGAATTAATCCTTCTAAACGAATAATAGATTCAAGAAATCATATTTTAAAATATGATGAACAACAAAAACATTCTTTAAATGCTCTTATAAAAGAACAAGAAAAATCCAACGTTCCTAAAGCGGTACAAAAACGACGAATTGTTTTACTTTTTCCTCGTTCACCAAAAAATTCAGAACATTTTAATTCACCAAAAAATTCAGAACATCGTAATTCACCAAAAAATCCAGAACATTGTAATCCACCAAAAGTTGATAATGATCAAAATAGAAATTTTCCATCATCATCATCATTAATAATTCCAAATACTATTCCAGTTTCTGAACCATCCGATTCATCGGTTAATATTAGTCCAGAGATGGCTGATTCATTACAATTAGCTGCAATTCTTGCTGAAATGCAATTAGATTCACAATCGACTTCAAATGAATCATCATCATCATCATTACCAAAAAATTCACATATAACATTAGATGCAAGTAAATATGATTATGTTGCTGCCAATGCATTAGATACAGCAACATTTAAATTATCACCACGTACATTAAAACCTGATGAAGAATTTGCCGCAAAAAAACGTTTTGCTCAATATCATCAAAATGAAATGCGTGAAAGTTCTAATGCTAAAATGCCATCTTTAATAGCATCGATTGTTACCGATAATAATAATACAATAGGAAATGGTATCGATATTGGACAAACTTTTACATTTAAATTCAATACAACAACTGATACAATTAAAAAACAAAGTTCTATTGATGCTGATGATGATGCATTTGAATCAACAACGGATAGTGAACTACTTCGACTTTGTTATGATGCAACGCTTAAACTTCTCTATGATCCAAATACGGGAAAATATTATGATTTGTCATCGGCATAAGTATTTTCTTTTAATTAAAATCTGTTTGTACAAGATCCTTCCTTTGAGTATAATGAAATTTTATTTCTTTCAATGCATCTTTTTATTCGTTCCCAGTGAAAAAAATTTATTTATTTTCAATTCTTTGTATATAATATCGTCTATTATATGTTACATATATATAATTTTGTTTTGTTTTTTCTTTATTCTTCTGCTCATTCTTTTTTTTCTTATGTGTTGATCACTAGATATTTTTTAAAGATAAAAAAAACTAAAGAAAATAAGTTGATTTGTTTGTTTTTCCTCGTCGACTTTGATAGGAGAAAAAGAAATTTTCTAATCTCTTCGCGTCCGCTTATTGTCAAAGCTGATCGATAATAAATCCTGTCTATTTGTTTTGGCGATTGAGCAACAATTCAATAGACGCATAGTGAATGAGAGAGACAGCGATAGACAATTTATTCTCTATATTGAGTTCTAGTTTTTTTTTTGTTTTTGTTTTTTAGGTTATTCATCGGTTTTCTCTTAACAATGGTTTTAAAAAAACACAGTATGACTACTTTAGTGTTTCGATGACTGAAAATAACTTCTTATCTATCGATAATCAAAACTAATTTATAGTATTAATATTTAGTAAATTGACGTCATAAGTATGCCGATGTTTTCTTTTGTTAGTCTCTTGAGAAACGAGAAAGTGAAAATAGACAAAATCAAGAGTTGTTGCATGAGCAAGCATGACAGAGAAAGAGTGTTGATGTGTTAACATGATTACACTTGTTTATATATATATATATGTGTAGGATGAAACTAACATGAATGTTATTGCGAATAAGAAAGATAGAAAGTGAAGACGAGAAAGAGTATGTATCATTGCATACGTCATCATCTTGATGGAAAAAATGCTTTCATTGTAAAGCAAAAGCAGCTGTTCGAAGCTCGATTTTCAGACGCTTATCATCGGATTGTTGATGCAGTACGATGATGATTTGCATCTGAAAGAAAAGAAATAAAGAAAGAATCGATCGCAGTAGACTGAGCACAATCATTCTTTGTTTTGCTCAGTGGTGGCACATCAATACATATATATTTGATCTCTAAGTGTAGCTATTCCTCATCTATTCATGCTCTATCTTTCTTTTTTTTTCTTCTTTATAAGTGCATATATATATATATATATGTGATGCCCACGTTGCAAAACTATTGTTGACAGTAGATGATGTCAAGGTTAAAGAAAATGTCTGAATTGTTCACAATTCATTTATTCCTTTCCTTTTTTAATAGAAACAGCATTGATGGAATTTCGTTTTTTTTTCAACACTATTTTATTTTATTATACAGTTTTATGTTTTCTTTTTCACGTCGAAAAAAAATAAAATAAATATTTACATAACAATCAACATTTTTTAGATGTTAACTACTAGTAGGAGTGACAACAGCGTTTCATATTGCATACAAATCATTTAAATGAAGACCAATATTAATCTATATCAATGAAGATCTTTCTATTATCATAGATTAACATAATCTATTGAAATAAATGACATCAACATTTAATATAACCAAAGCACGTGTATCACCTTCACACTTAACATCAACATCTTTATCATCATTACCACCAAAACATTGGGCGCATACATGTCATGAAACAATATTATTATCCAATGATAAAAAATATTCTATTCCACTTTCATTAGCTGGTGGTGCTGAAAATGGACAATTTATTTATTTAAATCAATCGATTTCTTTAATAAAAAATAAAACATCAATAAATATTATAAAAGGTGGTAAAATTGATTCAGATGAAATTATTCTTACAATCGATCAACATCAAATAGCTGGCTATACATTATCCGATGCACAATTGCTTATTGAAACACTTTCAATCAATGGTCAACAAATTAAATTGAAAACTGTCAAATCGGGTACGTGTATATATATAGATATATATGTTTTTCTTTTCAATGTTCATATCAACGAATTTACATAATGATCGAAAGACAATTAAAGATTATTTTATTAGATTTGTGTGCACTCAAACCACATTAGTCGTTAGAAAAAGAATAAATTGTTTTCTCTATCTCTCTCTCTCCTCTCGATTTTGTTGTATTAATAATTGGAAAAAAAGAAGAAGAAGAAATTGATCGATCGATCATCTATATCTATTCTTAAAACTAAACATTAAAAGCATATGCATTATTATTATTATTCATCATCTTTATAGATACTTTTATTTCTGTTCTTTGTTAATAACAAGGTCGATAGTTTACATTATTATTTATTATTACGAGAAATGACATCATGTGTCATAGTCCCTTTTCAATTAAGCGTTCATCATATCACATACAAGATATCAATGACAAGATAAAGGCAGTTTATTTTTCTTGAATATATCAAGAAAAAACGAACAGTTGTATGAAGTGTATACATATTGATTATAAATGTTGACAAGGGAATAAAATTAATATTGCTTTCTATAAAAATGACCACATTTGTTTCTTTCCGTTTTTCCTCAAATGACTTGATCGACCGTGAGTGGAATCGAGGACAATATATATAAGAAAAGAAAAGAAATGGGAAAAAGCCAGAGAGAATGATACTTAACTATTGTGCAATCCGTACATGATATACAAAAAGAAATAGGAGAAAAAAAATCAAATAGATTCGTTTATGATTATGTTCATGATATGATGACAATGTGTGTACGTGCATAGAGAAAAATATTTATATACTTTGAAAGATTTTTTTTGTCTTTGCTTCTCATATGAACATTATGTTATTCCAAGTCGACAAAGCTCTTTAAGAGATAAATGAACGACTAACTGACTGACTATTACCGCCTGTGTCGATCAATGACGTGTGTTTATATTTCATCTTTACATGCTGTGCTTAGACTAGTCGCAATCGTCACGTTGACGTGTTGAACTCTGCAATTCTGCATCTTTTCTTGTCTTATCATCATTACTAAAAGAACAATAATCAAACGCCGACGGCTGTCCATGTAAACAACTCGTTGACAGAACAATAGCCTGCTGATGTTAACTGCATGCGATCGTATTAGACATATTGTTATTCTCTCTCTCTCCCTCTCTTCTCATTTCTTCTTCCTTCTTCTATTTAATTTTTGTCGATATTGTCGTCACACGAACGCGTACATTACATCATTTATACTATTACAGTTCCCATTCAATACATCAATACGTATTGAGTTGAGCTGTAAGAGTTGATGTTATATATATATATATCTGTATCTATTCATCAGTCATACGTATAAATACATTTATATTTCTTTTGGTAATATTTCACAAGCAATATGTTGACAAATGCAAACATTATGACCCATTCTTCTTATGATAATTTATCGTTAATATCTCCAAACATAGGAACTACAGCAACAAACAGTAATTTCATATTCGATGAATTACAAGGTCGAGATCAAGTTTCTTTCATTTTCTTTTTTTTCTTCTTTTATTGTGTAGATTTATAAATACATTAATATATTATATCTTGTTAATAGGTTTAACCAAAGATCTTCGTCAATTTCTCGATGGACGTTTTGAAAAAGGCTCGATTGATCATGATCTTCAACAAACCATACGTGATAATCTTTATATGAGAACAGTTCCTTGTAAATAATTTCTCTTTTTATTTAAAAGTATTAAAAGAAAGTAAAACGTTTTCTTTATTTATCCTAAGGCACTACACGTCCACCTCGTTCAGGTGAAATGAATGGGCAAGATTATACTTTTTTAAGCGTAAAAGATTTTCGTGCATTGGAAAAAAATGGTAATTTACTTGAAAGTGGCGTATATAAAGGTTTGTTTTGATTTCTTTCGTTCTCTATTTGATAAAGAAAAACGAAATTTATTTTTTTTCAAATATTTATAAATATAGGACATTATTATGGCACTCCACGTCCATCAAAAGGAATATATTTAACAAAAAATAATCAAACACGTCGAAGTAATTCAGCAAATGAAATGTTTCAACATTTTGATCCAGAATTTTTTAATAATAATAATCAAAATTCAATGAAAAATCTTCCACCACAATTATCAGGAGAATTAATAACAAGTTCATTAAAAAAAAGTCAACATGGTTTTGGTTTCACCATCATTGGTGGTATTGAAAAAGGTCAACATTTTCTTCAAATCAAAGATATTTTACCTGATGGACCAGCAGCAAGAGATGGTAAACTTCAACGAGGTGATATACTTGTTTATATTAATGATTCAAATGTTATGGGTTATAGTCATACAGAAGTTGTTAAAATCTTTCAAGCATTATCAATAGGTGATAGTATACATTTAACTGTTTGTCGTGGTTATCCACTTGCAGTTAATTTTGATGATCCACAAATTGATGTTGTATCATTAAATGGTGTTCATCATTTACCTAATGGTGGTTATAAAGAATATCAACCGGATAATCATTCGCGTACATTTGTTACTAAAATTCGAAAAGGTGATCATGGTTTTGGATTTACTGTTGCTGATAGTCCATTGGGTCAACGAATTAAAGCTATTGTTGATAGACAACGTTGTCAAAATTTATGTGAAAATGACTTATTATTATCGATTAATGGACAAGATTTATCAGGAAAACAACATGGGGATATTGTTGAGATGCTTATGAGATGTCCAATGGATACAGAAACAACATTCGTTATTCGAAGAGGTATTATTTTCTTTTTAGCTGTAAGCAATGAAAAATTGAGAAAAAGAATTGTTTTTTCGGTACCAAAATATTCTGATTTTTTTTATATGTAGAAAAAAAAGAAGCAAATCAATAGAGACTACTAATACTATTGCAACGTTTCTCAATCAATGTTGAATCTCATGTCTGTCTTTTCTCATAGGAATAGTCCAGAATCGATTTTTGATACTTCTCTTAGGAAAATATAATCTAACAATCGGCTATGAAATAAGACTTTGTAATATTATCGGTAATCTCTAATGATTTGTTTTTAATCCAAAAAAAAAAAAGTTCAACTATTTTTGATATTGGCAAAATAATCTAAAAATATATATTCTAAAGAAAGAATGAGAAATATTTTCTTTTTCTCTAAGGTCTAGAATAAGATTCATTGTAAAATATCGATTGAGTATACAGAAAAATATTAGTACCATGTTAAAATTTCGCGTAAAAAAAGGTATATAATTTGTATTTTGTCAATTAATTTCTAATTTTGTTTTTTTCTTTTCAAGGCGATGCTGATGTTAATAATAATTCATTTATATTAAATGGTAATAATCATGTAGATAAAAATATTCAGGTATGAAATCAAAAAAAAATTATTAATAATAATATAGTTATGAGAAAAAAACAAATATTACACTAAATATATATATATTTATCTATAGTTTAATAGTCGATCGAACATTGCTGGAAAGCATGTTTCATTTATAACAAATGATAAAGAGAATAAGGTGATGAAAAATTTCTTTTCTGCATGTTTGTTTGTTTCTTCCTTGATTATGAATGTCTATGCATGATTCTTTTATTTGTCGTCTATTTGATTTTTTTTTGACTGTGATAACGAAAATTTTTTGTTTTTTGGTTAGCTCAGATTTTTAACTATTTCTACAAGTAGATTATTTGTTGTTATAACCTTATTTATGCTTCATTTGAAGTATATCATTAACATCAATGAGATTTGTTTACATTATAGTTCAGTACTTCTAAATATAGATGAACGACTAGAATAATTCATATCGATTAACTTCACATATGATTGAATGTTACAGATGTCGATGTGAATAGTTCGGAAAATGTTTTATACATCATTAGATCTGTCTTTGATTAATTCACTGGAATTTTTTCCAGTAAAATAAACATTATATATTCATCATTTTGTGTGTATAGTGTATATAACGAATAGAGATTATTTTATAAATGATTAATTGTGCATAGAAAGACAAATAATTTATACTTTTTCTAATGATATTAGATGCGATATTTTATATTATTTTTCTAGGTGTAGTTTTCTTCATAATTGTTTTTTGTTAATATCGTTCATTTCTTGAGCAGAAGGTTAATTAATAAATAGAACATATGCAAAGATAAATTATGTTATTTTGAGTATAATAATAACGATTGAAGCGAGTAATATTCAAATATAGAATTATCGTTTTCGAAGAGAATCATTAGCTTATTGAGAGAGCGAGACATACATATATATAAAAGAATGTTTATGACATATGTGCATTACATTAAAGGCATGATCTAATAGTGTTTAATCGTATAACAAAAAATATTTATAAACAATCAATCTTAATCTTTAGGAAAACAATGATATCGAAACTTATTATCCATCATCAAAGATAACTGGTAGAAAACAAAAAAATCATCATAATATTTATTATTATTATTATTAATTTAGAAAAACCTCGTAGTAAAACTCCAACATCATTTGGTTCTACAGCACCCACAGATACACTTCCATTTCGTTCTCGAACACCATTACCCACGAATACTAATACAAATTTCCCTAATTCAGATATGATTCAAACATCTACAACAATAAATAAAACAGAATTTGCACCTGATTCAGTATATTCATTTGATCGACAAGTACCATTAACACGTAGTGCACGTGATATAAGAGTAACAAATATACCACCATTACGTAGTAAAACTCCTGGACCGGAATTTGGTGCAACATTACCATCATCATCCTATCGTGCTAATACCATGAAACCGAGAAGTAAAACGCCAACACCTTATGAATTTTCTTCAAATACTTTACAAAACAGGTTTGAGGAAACTATTTCTTGTAAAAACTATTATTTTTTTTGTAAATTTTTTTATTCTAGTCGATCATTACAATCTGTTCATCCGCAATATATAGAACAAATTGTTAATTTAACACTTTTACGTCCAAAGTAATAATTAGAATTAGTTTTGATTTATTGAATAAAATTGTTTTTTTTCTAAAGTGATGGTTTTGGTTTGCGAGTTGTTGGTGGCGAAGAAGAAAAATCTCAAGTATCTATTGGTCATATTGTTCCTAATTCACCAGCTGATGTCGATGGTCGTCTTCATATTGATGATGAAATAATTAAAATCGATGGTCATTCAACAATACGTGCATCACATGAAAAAGTTGTTCAACTTATGCAACGCGCAAAGGAAAAGCAACATGTTTGCTTAATGGTTCGTCGTTATATGTATCCAAATAATAATTATAAATCAAATTCTTATCATCAAACAAATCATGATTCACATCTAGTATATCGTAATGAAACACATATGAAATCATCAGTAGATAATGAAATACGTCATGTAGTATTACAAAAAACAGATGAATATCAAAGTTTTGGTTTTGTGATTATTTCATCACAGAATAAAGCTGGTGCTATTGTTGGTAAGAATAATTTTATTTTTGTATTCTATTATATATATGTATGTATAAACAGATATTAATCGAGAGAATATACAGGAACAAATGGAAAATAAAACTATTTACAATATTTGGATAGGTTAGAGATGCATATTTGCATGTAAACTTCTTCTTTATTGATATAATCATATCTTAATCATATATATATTATTTATTATTGAATCGATTGCAGATTAGAAATAATATGGTAGTCATTGTATGATGTTCAGAAATCTGATCTTTATGAAAGACTAATAAATGACATAGAAATCAACAGGCTAGATAAAATTTGCTTTATTAATAACAAAATCTTATAAGAAAACTTTCGCATACAACAAAAAGATTTTCATCTCGAATACTGTTAAGTAGTCAGATGTATGTAAATCAGAGAATACAGAATACTAATGTACTAGCACTTTGAAAAGGCTTCACCGTTATAAGCAATTTAAACTGACTAAGATTCTGATTCTAGAAAAGTTCTAGATCAAAATAGTATAAGAAAGAAATTAATATCACGGTTAAACTATAATTTACTATTTTATAAATCGAATTCTACAAGTGACTTGGAAAAATATCTCTCATTTTGATTCTGTTGAGGATAAAGTGAAGTTTTACAACTCAGTACAGAATTCTACGGAAAATTTTCTTATACTACAGTAAAATCTCGACATAATGAACATAAGTAGTTGTTTGATAAGTGTCCACTATTGAAAAGTTAAATCTCTTCTTTCGTGAGAAACACGTTTTTGAATCAGATAACTACTTGATGCTTATTAGTACTTCTCTGCTCATGTATTCTCATTACTGAAAAAAGAAAGTATGCTTATATAAAGTGAAGGCTGATTATTACCTCTTACGAAATGCATGAGATATTTTACTTCTCGAAAGAATCATTTAAACTTTTATAATATTCACATGACTATTTGTTATTAAATTTGTTTTAATCTTGTAAAGAAAAACTTCTGTTAATTAATTTTAGGTAAAATTATTCCTAATAGTCCTGCTGATCTATGTGGTCAACTTCGTTTAAATGATCGTATATTAGCAGTTAATGGCGTTGATTTAACTCATATGGCACATACAGATGTTGTTAATTTAATCAAAGAATCTGGTCGAATGATAACCTTAACCATCGGTCCACCAATTCATCTTGGTAACATTTTTATTTTGTTACGTAAAAATTCCATATTTTATTTTTCAATAGATGATCAATCTCGTGAAAGTCAAAGTCATATTCGACCATCATCATCATCATCACCAATGGGTATTTCTAATGAAAATAATCATACATTAAGAAATGCATTTTCACATAATCCACTCAATATTACTGAAAAGTATTTTTCGTATATTTTGTTTTTCAAATAAAAATTTTTTTATTATTATTTTAGAAATCAAAGTCGTCCTTCATCCAGAATAAATGGTATATTAAAATCAGTAAATATCATTTTGTCTAATTTTAATATTCAATAAAAAAATTTCTCAAATATTTTTATTTAAGTATTCAATATCTGATGATTATTATATTGTTGATCTTCAAAGACCATATTCAAATTCAAGTTTTGGTTTTAGTATTCGCGGTGGAAGAGAATTTTCTATTCCATTATTTATATTAAAATTAGCTGATACTGGTCCAGCTGCAAATGATGGTCAAATGAAAGTAAATATATATTCAAAATTTTCTTCTTATTCTATTTCTTTCTTTCTTAGCCTGGAGATCAAATTATTGAAATCAATGGTCGTTCAACCTATGGAATGACGCATAGTGAAGCAATCGCATTAATTCGTGATGGTGGTTTATATGTTCGTTTATTGTTACGAAAAACGCATGCGCCACCACCAAGTTTAGATGGTACGCGAATTTATTTGATGAATAAATCTTAAATTCTTTTCTAATGAATTGTAGAAGTTAAATCAGCAATGGGAAATGGTATTGATTCTACAAATGTCTATTGGAAAGCAAGTCCTTATACATAAAATAAGAATTTCATAGTTTTGATATTTATTTTTCTGTTGTCTACTTTATTCTCATATATTTATGTCTTATTTTGTTTTTTTTTCTTCTTCATGCAATCAAATATAGATTTTTTTGTTTGTGCGTGAACTTTTTTTTTGTTGTTTAAACTTATGTATATATAGAATGAAACGGAATAAAAGAAGAAAAAAAAAACGTAACAGAAGAGAAAGATTAAAATGTTTTGTGTCAGATGTTTGAATCGAATTTAATATATTTCCTTTTCTTTATATTAATCTCGTTTATTTATGTATACATCTATATGTGTGCGCTTTGTCCCGCTTTTTTTTTGTTATTTCTGCAGAAAATGAATATCAGAATTGGTGAAATAAATTTTCTTGGAAATTATTCATTTGTTTTTATTAATAACATACAGAAATAAGAAGTTAGATGTAAAAGCTTTTAAGCATTTCATTCTCATCTAGTTTACATAATGAAAAGTGTAATACTTATCATCGTAAGACTCAAATCTTTCAAGAAAAAGGATGTTAAAAATTTGCAGATGGATAGAATAGTTAAGCAGGTAGCTGAAATCGGTTTTGCTCTACTTTTTATTAAAGTCTATCTCTAACTATAAGATAACGTTTTAGAAGATACTTTTTTTTAGTAAATTTATCGCAAGATTTAATCAATTAGACTCCCACACTGAGATATATACACGAAAGAATATAGGATTGTCCAATAAAGAAATAATATGTAGGCTTGGTATTTATATTGCCATTATATTCGATCCTTATTTCTTTTACCTATGTGTCATTCATAGATGATACGGTTAATTTTTTCTGCAGAATAAAATGAAGTAAAAACCGTGAGATATAAGGTAATTGATTAAAAATAATTAGTTTCCTTTCGTCAGTCATATATTTGAGAAAAATATACATTCAAACGATATTTTTTTCGTTGATGACATTTTGCTTTTTGCCATTTTGATTGACAATATCAAACAGTGTATTGTCAATTAATTCTAGATGCCCACTGCACCATCTCCATCGCCTCGTCCTGAACGAGCAGTTATTGGATTTTTTCTTTATGTTACATCTATTTTTACTTTTGGTAAGATTTCAATTTATGAAATAATTTTTAATTATTTCACCTACAGCTATTTATGTACTCTGGGCATATTTACCCAACGATTGGTTTGAAAAAATTGGTATTACATATTATCCTCATAAGTAAGAAAATATTTAATTAGTAAATATTTTTAATAATTAACTAATTTAGATATTGGTCAATTGCAATTGCTGTTCTAGTATTGACATTATTAATTGGTGTTATAGTTGGTAATTATCTACTGAATAATTTATCTATACCACCATTAGATAGTATAAGCTTAATTCATGGTTAGTACTAAAGATTATGGTGGGCAGATAAAAGAATGTCTTTGTTTTTTCTAGATCGTCATACACGGAAGCCACAAGATTTAATCAGTTCTGAAACAGATGCAATTCCACCAGTATCAGATTTGGACTTATCATTTGTTAATCAAGTACTTTATTCTTCACATACGAAATAAACTATTTACTTTTTTCTGTGGTGTGTAATATTGAAAAATTACAATTTTTTCTGTTTTTTGTTAATCATTGATAAAGTTCGTCAAGGTTTGGCCTTAGAAGATTCGTTCTTTTGCACTATAAGTAAATATTATTGTATGACTCATTTGTACTGATTATATTTTCTTTTCGTCATTATTATTTATAGCGCTACTATCGCTTACTTATAAAAAGTCTAAAAATAAAAATTAGAAAAACAAAATTGTAAAAACAACTTTTAATTGAAAAATTCTATTTTTATTTTTAATAGATTTTCATGTGAAAATTTATCGGAGGTTTGAAGTGAAAATACATGTGTAGAAACCTCTACGGAATGGCTTAATCTTCGTAATATTATTTATTCTGTCGGAGAAATAACATCGTTCGAGAAGGCTCGAGAACGAACTGAAGTAGTTAGTTAAAATATGGTGGATAGAGTGCAATGTATACGTGTAGAGAGAGACGGCAACAACAAAACAACAGATGATACTACTACATCCTAATTTAATAGTTCATTTTTCCTGTATACCTATAATTCTTTTCCACATTATGGAAACCTTTTCACTTCTTGTTTCAATCATACTAGATCCTTATTCTATATGTCGTCCTTAAACTTCTTCCGTAATCTAATTTTATACTTAGCTTATTATTTTTATTATATATAATTTTTATATACAAGCTCTCTATATTGAAAATTTATTGTTCTAGGTAGCATTTCTTTCAACTTTTCAAAACTACACTCGGTGATACATTACAATGGGAAAAGAAAAAATTCATATTAACATTGTCGTCATCGGTCACGT